TGGCCCTTTCCCTAAGGAAGCTCAGGGTTAGGGATGGGTTTTTCTCTGCCTGTCAGAGTGGCTGCCTGCTGTGGGAGGTAAGGGAATTGCTGAGCTAATGCAGAGGTGTGTACGGAGTGGCTGGTTGGAGGAGAGCAGAGGGATGTGAAAGTGAAGCTGCTGAGCTCTGCTGCTGGCCACTCACCCTCCCTGGCTGCAGGGGTGTCTGCTCCTGCTCTGTCTGCTTGCTTCCTTGGACAGATGAGATGCCAGTACTTACCTCTGGAGGAGGGAGCTAGGAAGTCCATGGGGATTTTGTGAGGGTTTCTGAGCACTGCTGTTTCTGTAGGAGCCCTGCACAGCACACAGACAGCTTTTCTGCAGCCCTTGCCTGGATTTGATTTGATTTGATTTGATTTGATTTGAATATGCTGCCATGCCCTGTCCTCCTGCAGGTGTGACCCAGGCTGGGAGGGGGAATACTGCGAGGAGTGCGTGCGTATGCCGGGCTGCCTTCACGGCACGTGCCACCAGCCTTGGCAGTGCATCTGTCACTCTGGCTGGGCTGGCAAGTTCTGTGACAAAGGTGAGTCGTGGGCTCGAATCCCTGCCTCTGGTGCTGAGGGCAGAAGCCCAGCACACCCTCATGGATATCTCAGCCAGCATAGCCAGAAGCCACCTGGGTGATGCCGTTTTGGCTGCCTGGGAGATGGGATGTTGCCTGGCAGCCACAGCTGGGACCATTCCCTTCCTGCAAGAGAGATCAGACTGCTGTCGCTTGTTCCCTGGTTGTATGGCAAGAGCTGGCATGACACTGGCCAGCCTCAGGAAATGGAGCAGATGAGCTTATTGCATTTCCCGTGCTGCATCAGGACTCCGAGCAGCATCCCCTGCTTTCCCCAATGCTTCCTGCCTTCAGCAGGTGGCTGGGGACTCCCCTTCCCCAGCCCCAGGGACTTGTCTGCATCTGGGGGTCTCCGCTGGTCAGACTGTTGGCATGCACTGCATCCTCACAACCACACAGGCACTGCACTTCTGTTGCTGCAGGTGCATATTGGAGGGGAGAAGAGAGAAGCTCCTGCCATATCTCCATCTCCAGGGGGTTTGGTGGGTTGTGTTTGCACTGAGTTGGCCACATCAGCCCTCTTTTCTCCCTAATTCACACAATTTTTTTTCCCCTCAGACATACACATCTGTGAGCACCAGTCCCCCTGCCAGAACGGGGCACAGTGCATCTACGATCGGGATGGGGAGTATTCCTGCTTGTGTCCAGAAGGCTTCCACGGGAAGGACTGTGAGATGAAGACAGGGCCATGTGAGAAGGCAGGGTGAGACACTGCAGTGAGATTACAGACAGCATTAACTTTGGGTCACACACTGCTAACTGGAGGCCCAGCTTGGCTCTTTACATGTGAATTTCTATACAGTAATGGAGATAAGCCAAAATCACCTTTGGCTTTGGTTTAGCAGAGTGCAGTGCACGGCCCCACCAGGGTAAGGGCTTTGTTGCAATCTGAACAGATGTCCTTGCTGTAGGAGGATGGGAGTTTGTTCATCATGCCTGGGACATCCTATCTCCCAGGCAGCCAAACTGCTGTAGGCATGATGGGCTGACATCCATGATGCTCTTGGGGAGCATCAGAAGGGCATGTTTCCTCTTCAGATCATTTGGCTGAAGACCCTCCCTGGTGGGTGGTGGGCCTGTGCACAGCCACAGCCTTTGAGAAGGTCCCACAGCCTCCCACTCAAGGAGACAGAAACTCCCATCCAGTCTTCTCCTAGAGATAGCTGCCCCCACAGAGAGAGCTGGACACACTGACCATGCAAGCAGCTCTGCGTGTTTACCTGAGGTACACCCCTGGGGTAGGGGAAGCTGCTTGGTTTCCAGGGCCATGACCTGTCCTTGCTCTCTGCACACAGGTCTCCCTGCAAGAATGGTGGGCAATGCCAAGACGAAAATGGCTTTGCCAGTAACTTCACCTGCCGGTGTCTGGCTGGCTTTGTGGGGGCTCTCTGTGAGCACGATGTGGACGACTGCCTGATGCGCCCCTGTGCCAACGGGGCCACCTGCCACGACGGCGTCAACCGCTTCTCCTGCCAGTGCCAGGTGGGCTTTGAAGGGCGTTTCTGCACCATCAACATCAACGACTGCGCCAGCCAGCCGTGCAAAAACGGGGCAAAGTGCTATGACCGCATCAATGACTATGACTGCTTGTGTCCTGACCGTTTCACTGGCAAAACCTGTGAGATCTCCGTCCCTGAGCCCACCTGGTCTCCTCCCTACCACCCTGCAAACAATGAGAATGCTGGAGGTGTGAAAAGCACCACTAGTGAGACGCCGGGGGTGACGCAGCCAGAGCCCATCAGGACTGTGGTCACAGGGCGGCGTGTGGCCAACCACAGCGAGAAAGAGCCAGGGGGAGGGTTGTTGAAAATCTCTGTGAAGGAGGTGGTGACCCAAAGGGACTCAGGGCTGAGTGAAGCCCAGCTAGTGACAGTGCTGGTGTTCGGGGTGCTGACAGCAGTGCTGGTCCTCATCACTGTCCTGCTAATGCTGAGGAACTGGCAGAGAGGCCGTCAAAGGTCAAACTGGTGCCAAAGCCCTTCTCAGGCTGCAAGAAAGCTCCAAGACCAGGAGTGTCAGGTGGGCATGCTCAACACCATCTTGATTGAGCCAAGGAAGACCACAGAGCTGTGAGCTGCGAGGACTCCAAAGCAGGCCCTGGCAGGTCATCATGCTGGCAAACCCCTCGAACTGCGCCCTGCGGAGCCACGCCGGCACCGACTGGGCAGCGGGGAAGGGCTCCCAGGGCAGAAAACATGTCAACAAAACCTTGGGCGTTGAGCATTGGTGTGATGGGCCTGCCTGGGTCTGAGCTGTCTCCTGTCTGGCTGGCTCAGCTGGCACGCAGGGGCATTTGAAGGCAGGGCTGTGCTGGGCCAGCCCTGCAGGGGAGCAGTGGTGTGCTGCCCGCAGCAGCCTGTGCCACACAAGCACTGCTACCATCTGCTCCAGCACTCAGAAACAGGACACGTAGTGCTGAGGAGGGCACAGCCCTCTTGCAAGCCCAAATACTGCCAGACCCTTTGTAACTCCTCTCTGTGACTACGGGAAGGGGCTTTATCCTCATTTCTGCTGGTGTTGGGATGCTTCTTCTGGGGCCTTTGATACAGTTGTGGCTGCATGGGTCTCCCTGCCAGAGTACTGTATGGGGTAGTTCCTGGCTGTTTCTGGAGGCTGTCATTTCAGATGCCGTGTCCCTAGGGAGTGAGCAAACACCCTTGCTCCCTGGCCTTGTGGTTCTATGAGCCAGTTCAAAGAGACTTCAAAAATCATTGCAGGTCTCATGCCCTTCTTCTGCCCTGGCTGATGCACCCTCCTCTTGCTTGTCAGACTTGGGGGTTACAAATGGGTTCTGTACTTTCCTCCTGATAATCCAGGGGTCTCTTTGACTCACTTACTAAGCCGTCCTTTCTGGTCTGGCCACAAATGACCAAGATCCTTTGCCTCTGCAGTGTGCACTTCTGCCTCACTATTTGCTCTCCTCTGGGCCTGAGCTGGTCCTTCTCATATGTCCTCATAAGTGAAGCTGGAGATGGACAAGGCTGTGCTGTGGCTGGTTCAGGAGCAATAGAGGATCCAGGTCCTCCTTTGCTGTCCCATTGATTCTGAGGCAGGCAGCTGGCTCTAACCTCAAATCACTGCAGCATTTCTCAATAAAACAAAGGCTAAACTCCCCACAGTGGATGTGAGCCTGGGATGAGCACAGGAAACAGACACAAAACTGCCTTCTCCACCATTGCTAAAATATGGCTAAGAGACAGCAGATGGTTAGGTCACTTAGCCTGTGTAAAAGATCTATTCCTGCCTGTGCTGGTCTGGTGTGCAGCAATCAGTGTCTCTCTCCCAGGACCAGGGATTTCTGTGCCTCCTCATGGGCACAGGTGGCTAAGCAGTGGGGAAAACTCTCCACAACCCAAACCCTACTTGTAGGGCTTGTAGGGCTGCAGAGCTGGGTTCAAGGTGGTGTGAAGTGAGCCAAGAAGTGACTGCTCAGGCAGGAGTGAGACCTGGGAGAGGGGACTGAGGCTTCATCAGAAAGATTATTTTTTTAATACATGGATGGATTATGTACCTTTATCAAATAAAACAAGTACAAGCTCAGAAACAGTGTATCAGAGAATCATAAGACCTTGTAGGTTGCAAGGGACCTCTGAACACCAACCTCTTGCTCTCAGCAGATCCAAGTAGATTGGGTTGCTCAGCAACTTGCTGAGTATCTCCATCACTTCCCTCAAGAATGCAAAGCCAGACCGTGGCAGCACAGGAGTTGCCCTGCATTATTCTCCACAAGTACAAGCTCAGAAACAGTGTATCAGAGAATCATAAAACCTTGTAGGTTGCAAGGGACCTCTGAACACCAACCTCTTGCTCTCAGCAGATCCAAGTAGATTGGGTTGCTCAGCAACTTGCTGAGTATCTCCATCACTTCCCTCAAGAATGCAAAGCCAGACTGTGGCACAGGAGTTGCCCTGCATTATTCTCTGTCTGCAGGAATGGGAATGGCTCCTAGTTTCAGGGAAAGGAATGGCACCTATCCCTGGACAGCACAGCAAAGGTGTGGGCTAGGCATTACCTTAAGAGTGTTGGCAAGAAGGGGTCCCAGGTGCCTGTGGCAAAAGGAAGATCCTAAAACTGAAAGCAGCTGTGGGTTTTGTGCAGCTGGGAACAGGGCAGGAGGGATAGAGAATTTCCCCTGAGAGGGTGGTCTTCAAATAAACTAGCCTTAGAGGCCTTTAATGCAATTGCATTCTAGCCCCTTCAGGGAAAGGCCTTCTCCACTGAAAACCAGAGGAAAAGTAGCAAGGTCCCTGGGTGCAACCTTCAGGGCTTGGAAAAGCCTTCTGGGAATAGTAGAGAGTAGGTAGGGTTGTCTTCGTGTAGAGAGGGCACCACTCTTGTATCTCATAAGGAAATAAGTGTCTGTTGAGGAAAAGGGCCAAGGACCTGAATCAACAGCTCACAAGCATATTTCCACTTTATTTTACATTGTATATGTCAGACTAAGTCTCAAACTAAGAGTTCCTGATTCTTCAGTGAGTAGAAAATCCCTCTGAAATCTCAAAGGGAAGCCTTGGAGAGGAGCAGGATTCCACCAACCAGGCTTGCATAATTCTAAACAGCAGGTCACATCTTCCCTACTAAAGGAAAGGCCACAGTGCCATACTCCTGTCCCTGAGGACACACAGCTGCTGCCTGCAGGCAGGAACAAGCTCCTCCCTCACCTCAGCAGCTCCTGGCGCTGCAGGGACAGGGCTGGTGTCTGAGGTGCAAGGAAAGCCAGGCACCCTGCTGGAAGGGCTGCCTGGGCTGAGCCCAGGAGGGAGATCATAGCTGCCTGCTGTGCAGGAGGTTCTGGAACAAGGATCCATCTTTCTGGCTTAGGCGGGCGGGTGAATCCAGCTCTGCCACTCTCCCAGCTTGCATCACCAGCACGCGGTCTGAGTCCAGGATGGTGTTCAGCCTGTGACAACAAATGCCAGGACACACGTTGTTGGATCTGAGGAGAAGCTTTGGATACTGCTTCCCCTGCTGTTAAGGGCAGCCCAAGACATGCCCAGCATTAGGAGCTGTGGAGGATCTCCCTCTGCACTCAAGGTGACAGTGCAGCTCCCCAGAGAGCCTCTGCTCACTGCTGAAATGCAGCACCTCTTAGGAGAGCATAGTGATGCCTTCCAGTTCTGGGCATGGCAGGGCACCAGGAGTGCAGAGGGAAGTTCTGGGGGGGGAAGCTCAGGGCATACCTGATTCTGGGGTTGCACAAAATGTCTCCATCCCTGCAGGGGTTAGTGAATTGCTTTATTTGCCCCAACATTTCCTCACCTGCCACCTCCCCAGGGCATCAGCTGTTATTCCCCTGCAGTCTAGCATCTTTGCTTATGCTACCACCACCACTGGATTTGTACTTGCCAGACAGCCAACCACAGGACCCACTGCACACATATGTGCCCAGGTCTGCCCAGACTGCCAGCAGAACAGCAACCTCTGGATAGGGAAGACAGGACAGCAGGAATGTTTTTGCACAGTCATGCACCATTCAGCCCTATGAAGCTGCAGATCACAAGGAAGACACTATTCAGGATTTGAGCAGGTAAAAGGCATTATGGAGTTCAAGACTCTGGTTACAGCACTGGAAATGGCTTGGAGGGACAAGAGACAAGTACAGCGTCACCTCCCCTCCTGGATTTTACCCAAAGCTGAATGGCATGGAAAAACCATGGATACAAATCAACCCCATCATCACCTTTCTCTCCTTACTGTTCTCCCCCATTGCTCTTTGTCCCATGGAAAAGGGGCTGGGGCCATCTTCAACTCAGTCTTGCTGCTTTGCCTTCTGCCACTCCTTCCTCTGCTGTTTCTCCTCTTTAATTACTCCCCCATCAAAGGTGGCCTCTCCACACCCAACCCAAACACACACCTCAGCCCACAATGCCCTTGCACTTCTACTCTATTTATGCCTAACATCCCTAGTGTAGGAACCACATTCTTTTCACACTCCTCCTGCCTCCCTCCTACATAATGTATTTAACAAGACCCACTTGATTCACTTGCCAGGCCCAGCCCACCCTGCCTGTCATCCATCACTCCCACTCCTGTGCAGCAGGACATCAGCCCCTGCCACCTGCTCATTTGATTTTTATTTTTGTGGTAACCTCTGTGCTTTGGAAACACCCTCCATACAATTGCATAACCCTCCTCCAAACACTCCTCCACTTGGCAAGAGTAAGAGCAGAGAACACCACCTAATGCTGATCCATCCCTTCTCTGCAGTATTCATGTTTTGCCCTCCTCACTCTGGCTGCAACCATCCACTGATTCTACTCTCCATCTCTCAGATGTGAGACAGTCACTGCTGTCCTGTCCTGCCTGGGCAGTGTCTATCTCACTGGGATAAGGTGCAGGCTGGAGCTAAAACTCAGGATTTTGGAAGACACAACCATCCAGTGGCTGGCTGCAGCCCTTTGCTGCTGGCTGTCCTGCACTGCCCTCTACTGAGCCAGGGACACCTGCTCCTCCACTGGCTCCACATTGCCCCTTTCCATAGGATAGTTTTCCATTATGCTTCACCATAATGTGGCAGAACCACAAGGAACAATTCACCTGCCCTACTGATGCCAGCAGGCAGTGCCCAGGAAGAGAAATCTGTGACAGGATGTTGCATTTTGCCCTTTGCTGGCACCAACTTCTGGGTACAAGAAGTTGTTCCCAGTACCCAGCAGAAAAGGCAAAAGGCAAGCTGCAACTTTGGCACTTGAAAAGCCTTATCACAGAGACCTCTGTGCTCAGCTTGAGGCCCAGGCATGGCACGTGCAGCCACCTCTCCTGTGAGTGGCAGGATGACTTTGGGCACAGAGGTTCTTCCATACCTGTGAGCAATTGTCAAAACAGTTTTGTCAGCGAAGCGCTGGCGGATGGTCTGCTGCAGCAGCTGGTCTGTCTTCTGATCCACACTGGCTGTGGCCTCATCGATGCACAGCACCTGCCAGGGACAGAGAGGGAAGGGAGCTTCCAATCAGCACAGCAGAGACCCCACTCCCTGGCTAGAGACAGCCTGAGAGGTTAGCACAGGGTATGTGTTCCCATGACACCTCCAGCTCTGCAGCGCTCTGCTCTGCTGTCCCCAGACAGCCACCAGCAGGTCCCCTCCCCCTTGCTCCAATGGAGGCAGTGAACTCACCTTGGCCTGCGTCAGGATGGCTCTGGCCAGACACACCAGCTGCCTCTGTCCCACAGACAGACTCTTTCCCCTCTCTCCCAGCTCGCTGTCCAATCCACCTGCAGGGATCGAGATTAGCAGTCACCTGCATCATCCACACAGGGCCCCAAACAGCTCCACCAGTCCAAGATTTTCCCAGTAGCACACAAAATCCCCATTCTGCTCAGGCCCAGGCCTTAGGAACTAGAGCCTTTACACTTAAAAACGAGCAACATCTGGCACAGTTCCCTTAGAACTAAGGCCTGGCTTATCTCTCTGCTACTCCTCTAACCCACTGAGGCCTGGTCTCACCAGCAAACTTCTGCCACCCAATCCATCACCTGCCAGTCCATTTGCCTCCAAATGCCACATAATGCCACTGGCTCCCACTGACCTGTTCCCACACTGGTTCTAACCTTGCCTAAGCCATTCCCTACTGCATCCACCTCAGCTCCCTGCCTGAGCTAAGGCCTTCTCTCCTCTTGCAGAACACGCACTCATCAGCTGCTTCTCAGTGGTTTCCAACTCACCCATCTGAGTAACAGCATCCCACAGGTGGCACTGCTCCAGCACCTCGCGGAGCTCAGCATCCGTCTGTTTTCCTTGGGGGTCCAGGTTTTCTCTGATTGAGCCACTGAACAAAAATGGATCCTGCGGGATGATGGCCAGCCTAGATCTGCAAGCAAACAAAAGCTGAGGGCTCATGGGATGGGTTCTGCAGAAAAGCAAAGATCTGCTACTTCTTTTTTCATGGGTTGTCTTAGTTTGCTACAAATCTTAGAGTCACAGAGACATGGCTCACATATTCAACCTGGTTTCCTTAGCACAACTGTTGAGAAACAACAGAGAGACTTGTAAAAAGCTACCACAGTCAGAAAAGGGGGTGCCACAACAGTCAGTCCTTTGCTCCTCACTCTTTACTTTGGCATCCAGCCACTGACAGCTCTCAGCTACCCTTCACTCTGCTCAGCCATACCTCAGCTCCTCCAAGCCCACCAGCTGGCTGTCAACACCATCGAGGAGAATCTGGCCTGATTTCATCTCCATCATACGGAAAAGGGCCAAGAAAAGGGTGGATTTCCCAGATCCTGTGCGACCCACAATGCCCAGCTTCTCTCCAGGGTAAACAGTGAAGCTCACACCATCAAGTGCATTAGGCAAGCCTGGTCTGTATGCCAGGACCACCTGCTGGAACTCCACAAGCCCTTCACTTGGCCAGTCAGCAGAAACCTAAGAGGGATACCCAGGTGAGAAAGGGCATGATAATGACTGAGTGTCATCCTCAGCATCACCTCCCCACAGTCCAAGCCCCACCCTTCCCTTTAGACGGTTGCTTGGCCTCTGAGCAGAACCAACACACAGCCCAGTCCCACCTCCAGCCCATTCCTAGGCTTGTTCTTCAATCACAGCTTGTATCTAGCACCCATTCTGCTTCCCTAATCCTTCCCATCACTCCCACCTACACAGTTTCTGCTGGAGATTCATCCTCCCCAGGAGATACACTAGTAAAAGATGAGTGATCAAGGTGGTTCCTGTGGTGAGGACCCTCCACCCATTCTCTGAAACCCCGTGGTCTCCCCAGGGGACAAGTGCAGGGCAAAGATCCAGAAATGGGCCAGTACCAGAGAACACATCTGAGCTTTTACCTGGACCAATTTATCCTGAGGCTCCATGGGGATGTCTGTGGTGTACTCCTCTGTCCGCTCCACACTCACCATCATCATCTCTGTGTGAGTGAAACTGTTAATGAGTTCTGAGAGCAGGTTTGTGACAGACAGGGCATATGATAGTGCCAGGCCCACAAGTCCTGTGAGGACAAAAGCACAAGCAAAAGTGTTAGTGGCAGGGAAGCAGCTGACATCTTGGTGGGCAGACAAAAAAAAACAAAGGAAAAGTCAGGACTGTGAAGTCTGGGGTCACACTTGAGGTTGGGGACACACAGGAGCAGAGACAGAAACTGAAGCACTACACTGTGGGTGACTTGCTAGCGACAGGAAGCAGGAGCTCTGGATCTTACCCCAGTGTAGGAAAATGTGTAGCTCTGGGCTGGGAGAGGAGGAACCCCTTGGGCACAGACTAGGAGTGGACATAGATCAGTCTCTGGCAGCCCACCTGGATTTCCCAGCTGCTTCTGGTGCTGGATGATGGCAATCCCTGCTATAGCAGTAACCACAGCAACCCCAATCATCTGCAAGCGGATGTCCAGCCACTCCATCACTGTTTTGCTGGCAAAGAGACAGCGCTGGTTCTGCTCCAGATGCAGCTGATTCTCCAACTCAAACCTGTCAGGCACACAACAGAGGTTTGCATCACTCAAATTCCTCTCCTGCTGCCCCGGACAAAGGGCATTCCAGCCACCCTATAACCAGCCCCACAAGAGGAAGGCCTTAACCTATAAAGCCAAAGCTCTGAGCTCTGTCTCTCTGGGTGCTTGTGCTTCCTGCTCACCTCTTTGCTGCCCGCATGGCTCGGATAGTGCTCAGTCCTGAGAGGGTCTCTGAGAAGTGGGTGTAAATGGGAGACAAGGTGATGCTCTGGAGGCGCTTGAGCTCCCGGGACGTGAATCGGTAATAGCGCTGAACGAAGAAGTAGACTACAGCCAGAGGGAGCAGGACCAGGCCAATCCAAGGGAGGCCATAGGTCATTACCACCAGCATGCCCAAGAGCCCGTAGATGTTGGCTAGGAAGATGTTGAGCATAAATGGCAGGCTGTCATCCACGCAGTACACGTCGGAGGAGAAGCGGTTCAGGATCCGGCCTGTTGGTGTGGTGTCAAAGAAGGTGACTGTGGCCTGGCAATAAGGGAACCAGACAGTAAGAGCCAGTCAGCTGCGCTGAGATTCAACCCAGAACAGTGTGCAGGAGAGCAGCACCAAGGGGAGCAGATTAGGCCACAAGGAGGTGGCCACCACAAGCCACTTCCTTACCTCAGCCTCCACAGCCAGCATCCACTAGCAGCCAAACAACTCACACATTGTTTGCATGGTAAAAGGAAGCACTCCTTCTGCATCAAATGGCTGACAGCTACTGAGAAAGCAGGCACTCAGACACCATGATGGCCCAATAGTAGTGAGGCAAATCTAATCTGAACTTCCATCCCCTAATCATAAGCCTGAGGACCCAAGGAAGCCAAAAACATTAAGTTAACTGACATCTGCCAGGATCAGCCCTAGATCTTGCTTAATAACTCCTTCCAATCTCATCTAAACCTGAACTCACCATCCTGTAAAAGCTACTTTGACTTGACTGGCTATACATCTAAGGCTAATGAGTGAACAGATGCAGGTGGGAGCTGTAAATCATCCTTCCATGGAATGAACAGGACACATTTTGAACCCCACTCATTGGCCCCTTGTGCTGGCTGTGGTGCAGCCCTTTTTGAATACAGTCCTACCAGCCAATACCAACAGAAACCTTAATCTATCTCCCACACCCATACTCCCAGCTATGAGAAGAATGGCAGCTTGCAGGAGCCGCAGCCTGCTGTGGACTTTGTGCCCATTACCTTTAGAACCCTTTGGAGCAGTCGGTTGTGAATGACAGTGGCAGCACGGAGAGCACCACAAGCAAAGAGGAATGCCCGAGTAATGGTGAAGAGGGAATTGGCCCCTGCAATGCTCCCATAAACTATCAGGTAGAAATTCACATCCACTGAGCCGTTGGGAGGGGCTGGGGTCTTGTCCAGATCTTGAATGGGGGAACTGGAAAAAAGGAGGAAGATTATGAATCTGCCAACATCTTCCTGACAGTAAACTCACAGACAGGGCATGAGAACCCAAGACCATACTCCAGGGGAAATCAGGACACTTTAGCCTGATACTCCTGTTACACCCCTTTGGCATGTTGGGACAAATACTCCAATTACTATGCAGCTAGGGGTCTTCCATCAGTCCCAGACAATGTGCCTTTTGGCACATTATCAAGTCAGGCATTTTGATTCTCTTCATCAAAGCAGCCACACATACTCCCTAACGTGAAGTGGTCACTTTATCTATCCCTGTCTATGCAGCTAGGGGTCTTCCATCAGTCCCAGACAATGTGCCTTTTTGGCACATTATCAGGTCAGGCATTTTGATTCTCTTCGTCAAAGCAGCCACACATATTCCCTGAAGTGAAGTGGTCAGTTTATCTATCCCTACTCTCCAGGATCTTCACAGGAAATGCACTTAAGGACATTTCCTGCTCCCTTTGGCACCTCTGGACCATATTCACTTACACAAGCCCAGCAGTGGAGAAGAGAAGCAGCTCTGGGGAAGGCAGGGAAGCTGAGCAGGCCATCACAGAGGTATTTGCTGTCTGGGATATGCTGGAGATCCAGTATGACAGCCACCAATCTGAGATATTTCTGGATGCTACAGAGAAAGACAGACTATGTAAAGAGAAATTCTGCTTCTGAATCAGCAAACATGAAGCTGACAAGCTGAAGGGGAAGCTGCTGGACAACCTTTTGCTCAATCTTGCTGTTCAGTATAGTCTTCCCCATTAGTAGTAGAGCAGGAGCAAGGGAACAGCCTTGAGGTGCAGCAGTGACACAGCACTGCTACAGAGGTGAGTGTTTAAAGCCCTGCTGTGTTTCCTTCTGGACTCCATGCAACCAGGGAATGAGACAAGAGGAGAAGAGTGTCTAAAGAGAGATGTGCTGCTGGGTCACTGCCTTACCTTGCATCAGGAACAGTGAGAAGAGGATTGATATTGCTAAGCAGCTGCCCATTGCCATCCAATAGGCCTTGTACACCTGAAAAGCCACTGCCCCTTCTTTCTTCTCTTCCTCCTTGTGGATGAGATAATTGTTTTGGGTTGGTTCTTCTGCCTCTGTCTTTATGGCCTCTTCCCGTCCCTGTTCATTAGGGGCTGTGGGTATGGATGTAAAAGCAAAGGTCAGTGCAGTGTTAAATTTTTCCTGCAGCTGTTCTTAAATGTGAACAGAGCAAGTCTAAACTATGAGGCACACTTTTTTTCCCTCCTCTCTCCTCTTTCAAGACAGGTGCACCAACCATGGCAGTTCTTCATCCAAAACTGGACTACAAGTGGATCAACAGGTTCAAATACTGCTCCAGACCAATACCCAATGATATGTGAGCCTTCTGTCCTTCTGTGCCCCACATATCAGCACTGCCACAGCAGAACAAGATAATGGGAGTTCTGCTCTAAAGCCAGCAGCCATCAGGTACAGGTTCTGTCTGGAAGGTCACCTATGCTGTCCCAGCTACCCTTAAGCTCATCAGGAACAGACCTTTATCCTTATCCCCCTTGTCTGTATCCTTGAACTTGGGGAAGGCTTCAACAAGTGGCAGGATATCAGCTGGTGTGCCTGCAAAGAGAGACGTGCAAATTCTTCAGCATCTGTGAGGAGCAGGTGACAACTTTCCACCTTCCCACTGCCTCTCGCTCTGAAATGACCCAGTTTTGTTCTCTCATAAGATTCCCTAGGTCGTACAGCAACTGTACCCTTGAAGGCTCCACTCCAAACAGTAATATACTCTTTCTGCCTCATCAGCTCCCCACATCTAGGGCTGTCCTGTTTTATCTGTACATCTGCACATTCTCTTCCACCCCATCTTTGCACACATGCAGTGTTTTCAGTGTCCTCTTTTAACACTGGGTTCCCCACTAGTTAATCCTAATCCCCTCAAGCCATTCCAAGACACAAGTGAATGCCTGAGAAGACAGTGTACCTGTCTTAACTATCCTGCCATTGTCCATCAGCAACAAGGCATCGGCCTTCTCCAGAAACTCTGTCCTGTGGGTGCAAAGGACCCTGGTCTTATGTTTGAGAACTCCAAAAATGCATTTCCGCATAATATGGTTGGCTACATCTGCATCAACAGCAGCCAGGGGATCATCAAGGAGGTAAAGTTCTTTCTCCTGGGAGGGGGACAAAAGAAAAAAGGATACAGCTGCTGGCCCTGCTGAAGCAGGCAGTGCTGTAAAGTCCAAGTGTCTCCATGTGGCAGCACCTTTAGGCTCGCACAGCCAGGGGATCATCAAGGAGGTAAAGTTCTTTCTCCTGGGAGGGGGACAAAAGAAAAAAGGATACAGCTGCTGGCCCTGCTGAAGCAGGCAGTGCTGTAAAGTCCAAGTGTCTCCATGTGGCACCTTTAGGCTCGCACAATGTGCTTTAAAGACATGCTGCCAGAACTCACTGCACAGCTGAGTGCTTCCAGACTCTTTATATTTGACTCAAGATCTGCCACACCAGAGTAACTCCTTTATTATTTACCTGGTAAACAGCTCTGGCAAGGGCTATTCGAGCCTTCTGTCCCCCGCTGAGTGTCACACCATTTTCACCCACCTCTGTCTGGTCACCTGCTGGTAAAATCTGAAATATTAAAGAAAATAATTTAGAAAGGGACAAAAAACTGTTTTGGGACCCAAAACCAGGACACAGAGGCCCCTCTCCAGTCTCTGGAAGTAATTTCTAAGGCTGACACCCTACCAATAGCCAAACAATGCAACAATCTATACACTGGTTCTACAGACAACTGGGAAGGTTTATTTATGCAACAAAAATCTCTTACACTCCAGAATAGGGTGGTCACATCTTAACTAACCATTGAGATCAACTTCTGGTCCAAGGTAACTGCACACAGTAATCTTCTGTGAGAACAAGAGCTGTGCCTGCATCAAAATTACGTCAGGGTCCTTCCAAACAGCGTAGCAGTAAAAATTACTAAATTTCAGTATCTGGAAATAAGTTTCCTCTTAGTTTGGTAGCAGAGGTGTATTTTACAAAATCTCCAATAAAAATCGTGCTTTTACAGAGTATTCATAGGTCTGGCCAAAAAATAGGTGCTGCTAAAGCTTGGTACTTCAGAAAATCAGGCATTAACTTACAAACTGGGAGAAGTCTAGATTCCTACCATATATACAGCCAGGTTTACTGGCTAATACAGTCATAAACCTCAAATTTAGAATATATGTCAGGAGCACTGACTCAGCCCTTCAAAACCCCATAGAATTTGCTTCTGATCCTCCCCCCAAAAAAGCATAAGCTGCTGACATGTTCTGCCTGAAAAACCCAACAGTCATCAGCTCTGCAAGAACAACTCCTTTCCCCAGCATGAAGAGCTTTTGGCTCGGCAGCAGAAGAAACCACCCCAAGTGCTACAAGAGTGACTTCACACCTTAAAGAAGTATGGGCACGCTAGGAATGGTGTGGGCTTGGTAATCAGAGCAACACTGTGTGATGGGACATTGGAGCAGCAGTCTACACCCTGAAGCAATAAACACTGATCCCATTGGGGCTCGGGATGGATGCAAAAGCCTGCCAAGAAGGCCCAGACAGGTTTCCTGCCTAGGCACTCACATTTAGGTCCTCGGAGAGGGCACAGGCCTCCAGCACCTCCTTGAACAGCCTGGCGTCATATTCCCGCCCAAAAAGGATGTTTTTGCGGACAGTGGTAAACTGTATCCAAGGCTCCTGTGTGGCCAGACCAAATCCTTGCTCCAGGTCACAAACGTACACTCGTCCACCTTGTCTGCAAGCACAACAGAAGTGGGTATAAAGGGCAACAAAGAAAAACTGCTGGCAGGTCAAAATTACCCACAAGCTGGGATAGCATAATTCCCACCTGCCATGGCATGGAGGGACCAGGCAGGGAAAACTCTTTAGGCTACTTACTTAATGAGCTCTCCAGTGATGGCTGCAAGCAGAGAGCTTTTGCCAGAGCCAACCTTCCCAACAACGCCCAGGAGCATTCCCTGCAAAGGGAAATGAAAAGAAGCAACCTGATGTGCTAATGCTAATTCTTGAGCCACATGTAGCCGGTAAGGAAGCTGACTGCTAGGACCATCTCACGCTCAGCAGGGCAGCTGGGAACAGTTGTCAGGTAAACCAGACTCCTGATATGACAGGACACAGATCTGCAAGGTGTTAACTCTAGAGCCCTGCTCTGTTCCCTGCCCAGTTGTCTCCAGCAGCAATACTAAAAAGCAGAGAGAACTAGTTAATCTCCTGTCTGTAAGCCATGGATGTTCTCTAGAGCCTTTCAGCCTTTCAGTGTCCCGTGCCTCTTGACCAAGAGAAGATTTTGATGCACAGCTCCTAGACTGAGGAAAACATGCCACCTCTGCTCCATTATTTTTATTTTCCAGTATTTTTTCTCTAGTGCCATTTTTCTGTATTACCTCCCACGTTCTTGCTCACCTTCCTCACTGACAGGTTCTCGATGTGCAGTTGCAGAGTGCCTGTGGATGAGGGCTGACTGGTGCTTTCCTCCTGAACTGGCACCCATGAGAAGGCTGCACATTGCATCTCCATGGCAGTATCAGCATCTGAAGGGCTATCTACAAGTGAAAACCCAAACAGCAAAGCACTGCTATGAGAAGACCAGAAAATTAAAGGCACCTGGCATCACAAACATCATCAGTTTTGTTCTGAAATGCAGAGACCATGGATGTGGCACTGCATGTTGCCCCTAACTCAACCACAGAATGAGACTCTTGCCTACTGACTTGCCCTTAAACTTATGCATCCCTTCTTCCAACCCTTCTGTCTCCAGCTCACACCAGACACACATGGCTGTCAGGGAGACACTGTAAGGATATAACCTGCTTTTATTATTGCTGAAGGTAAAAGAATGGCAGAGAGCTGACCAAAGGCAATGAAAGAAGGAAAGGGAACTAATATGGCTCAGGAGAGGGACAGCCAATCTAGCCTTTATGCCATGTGAAGCCAAGTTTGTTGATGGTTTCAGTGTCACAAGAGCTTTGGTCGAGAACAGAGCTGCTTGTTCTACTGGGACATTGTTGGCTTTGTTGGGACACGCAGTGGCTTTTGGTTGGTAAAGTGAAATGTTATAGCCTTGTCTCCTGCTTTCCACAGAAATTAAGGGAAGTGTCTCCACTCCACCTCTACCCAACTGAACATCTTGAATCACAGGGTGACAGCCAGCTGCCCTGCAGCAGTGCCCCTAGGCCTTGCTCCTCAGCTCTCTGCTCTGAATGTCTGCTGGCCAGAGTCTCAGGCCTGGCAGACTCCTTAACCGTTACCTAGGGCATAATAAGCTTCCAGGTCCTGGTCCACGAGTTCAAAGAATTGCTGGATTCGATCCAGGGAAACTTTGGCCTCCAAGATCCCATTCAACACCCATGGGAAGGCATTGAGGGGTAGAATAAGCATCCCAACAAGGGCCAATGCTGTGAACACCTGCAAGGGTAAGCAAACAGCCATGAGCTGGAGCCAGCACCTCCCCCGTATCCTCCAAACAGCTTCACCAGTGAGAGCCTGAAGAGCCGTGGAGAGACATGGGCTGGGATTATTTCCCAGAGAAGATGCCTCAGGATTGCAGATCCACTGCAGACTGTGTTCTGCATAAGTCAAGTCTGGACCTCTCCCTACTACCTACTCACCTTTGTGGCAGTGAGCTGGTGACCCAACAGGACATAGGTGACAAAGATGGCAATGGAGACAACAACAGGGAGTGCTGCCCACATGTACACGCACAAAGCATCCAGGTAACTGATGGTCCGTAACTTCTGCAGCTCTTTAGCCCGACAGGATTTTATCTTGGTGCTGAAGTGCTTCTCCCAGGCATAAAACTTGATCACACGAATGCCATACAGGAATTCTGTCATTAGCTGCAGGCAACGAGGAAAAGAACATCAAGCAAACAGTGCCCAGGCAACCTGGGCTGTGCCTGGGTGTGTAGCTGTCTCCTGTTAAGGGTCAAGCTAGAGATGTTAGGAACCATTTATTGCTAACAAAGGCATAAACTTAAGTGACAGCTACTGGAAACTTTGTGCTCATCCATCCCACCAGGTTTTTGAGCCACCCATGCTGTGCACAACCAAGGAAAAGGCAAAATATTACACTACTTTCCAAGTGAAAGATGAACAACACAGGTGAAGGGATGTGTGGAATTGCTTGCTCCAGCCTGGATACTATTTACTTGTGTTGACTTGACAGTGCCTTGAGATAACATCTGACTCTCAGGCCTGGTCCTGCCCTGACACAGCTGGTTTGTATCCAGAGCCTGGCTGGTTCATTTCCAGAACTCTGGTGCCCCTGCAGGATGCAGTCCTTTAATTTCTGTTCTCAGGTCAGCATATGTAGAGCAAGCTGACTGCGTCTCTGCCCAACATTAAAAAAAACTAACAAGAGAGACTTTATTCAGCAAACCAGTCTTACAACAGTTGGAGAAAGTTCAGCATAATCAGATACTACTCTGGTAGATGCACCTACTGTTGGGAAAGTAAGTATTTTTAAAGCTGCCAACAGTTCTGACAGGGAGTTGACCTATGTTTCATGCTTCCAAAGCATGAGTGAAACTGCTGTCCCCTCAAATTAGATACAATGCTAAAAGGTGGGAATCAAGTGTCTGACATGTGGAGAGACGGCACTACAAATAGGGGAAAAGGAGTGGAAAAGATGACTGAGAGTGCCATATAAAATTACATCCATGATCATTGCCTTTGTCCAGACTGAAAGCCACTTCATCACTGATGGCACCACTGGAGCAATAGGATGGATGCATATCTAGAGGAAGCCATCGGGAGTCTTGCCTTTACTACACACAGAAAAGAAACTTGCAAGGGAACCTAAATTAGGGGACAAGATAAGCACTAAAGGTTCATGATCTTATGGGTGGTGAAACTACATCACCCTGAAACACTTTTGACCAAAAGGTGTTTGTGTGTGGGTTTGTGTGTGCCCCTTCTGACATTTCTCTCAACAGCTGTGATTCAATTAATCTGCCTTGGACCATGGCTAGCTGCCAAGAAGCCAACGTTCTGGGACAAACAGGGGAAAAATACAAACTCAGAGAAACACCAGTGCCCCTCACCTTGACTCGTGTGTCCTTGTGTTTCAGCATCTTCTTGTTGTTCTCCATGATGAGGTTAGCTATGATCTTGTTGATGGGCACCAGCAGCAGAGCCAGGGCCACGCCTCCCAGAAAGGCTATCCCCACTTGCTGGTACAGGAGGTAGAGGGTAATGCCAAGCTGGACGGGCAGGCTCCACAACTCATGGAAGGTGTAGCAGAAGTTGACCAACCTATTGGTGTCCGTGCTCATGAAGTTGACAATTTCCCCCAGAGTGAAGCGGGCAAGGCTGGTGCTGCTGACACGCAGAGCCTTGCGGTAGATGGCGGAGATGACGGCGGCCCGCACCATCAGCGCCACCTTGTTCATCTCGTACCTGGACTGGCTCCGCAAGACAGAGCCCAGGAAGGAGCCAGCAAAGAGCCCAAGGGCATACAGAACCCCATGGCTCAGGGGCTCCTGCCGTGACTCCATGAAGTTCACCAGCAAGTTCAGAAGCAGAGGACCTGAAAAATTCAGCAGACTGTCAGCCAGCTTGAGAAGTCCAAGGGCGTAGAAACGAAGCCCAAAGGCCGCATGAAGGACGGACAAGAGGCGCACAGCTTCCTGGGTGTGGTGTGGGCTCCCTGGAGCACCACTACTGCCATCACCTCCAGCAATGATTGGGCTGGTAAGAGACACTGTCTCCTCCTCTGCTTGCTGAAGAGCTGCCTTCTTCTGCCAGCAAGAGTAGAACCGGTCACAGACCCTGGCAGCCCGGAGCTGGCGAGGAAGCACGTAGACGTCCTGTGGCTGGTTCAGCTTCTGCTGGTAGCCACGCCTCATAAGGGGGTTCATCCAGGTGTAAAAGAAGCGTGAGAGCCAGCTCTCACCATCTTCTGCCACTCTCTGCTGGTCAAGCACTGGGATCCCTGGCTCTGAGATGGGCTGGTCCTGTTGCCAGGAGTGATTGATGGAGAGGAATTCTTGCCTGCCAGCAGCGGGGAAGAGGTAGCTGCCCACATAGGCAAGCAGGGAGGCCAGCTGCAGACAGAGAATGGCGAACCTGGAGGAGGCACCGGGGTGGGCAGGGGTCCAAGCTGTGCCACTCTGGCAGTACCACACCAGTGTGATGATGAAGGAAGGTAGGGGAAAGAGAGTGAGGAGAGCCAGGGCTGCAGGGCCCCTGGTAAAGCCGTGAACGGACCTGCAGAGCACGAGAAGAGCGAAGCCATGCACCAGCCATGTCAGGGCAGCGGTGCCATTGGCCAGCACTTCCAGGTACACAGGGCCCAGCTCCTGCTGGGAGATGGTGGCTGGGATGGTGTCAGCAAGGAACAAGCCAGCAAGTACAAAGGAGGCAGCGATTCTCCACCTCCAGCTTGGCCTGCAAGGCACTCCAGAGCCAGACCTTGAGGAGGAAAGAGCAGTGAGATAAATCACAGTTGGAATTCCACGACCTCTCAGTACTGTCCTTTCTTCCTCTATCCCATGTTTATACATCCACTCCTACTTAACCTTCTGGATATACCTCCCTAGATCTTTAAATTTTTCTGATTTAGGCATTGCTAAACTACATCAGGTCAATATAGCCCACTCTTTAGTCAACACCAGAGATTTAGATGCTACCAAAGAAAAACATTTCTTTACAGAAATTTGTTTGCAAACTATTACTTTGTGGTCAAATCAAACTCCAGTCCTTGAGGATTAACAAGAAAATAACATAAATTTTGAATTATTAAATTCTCTCTGTCACATCTCTGACCCTTGATTTCCTTGTCTGTTGGATTTTTTTTTAGAAACATTATTTTTATCACTGTGAGTTTCAGTGGTCCTGTGTTAACAAGAAAATAACATAAATTTTGAATTATTAAGTTCTCTCAGTCACATCTCTGATCCTTGATTTCCTTGTCTGTCGGATATTTTTTCTAGAAACATTATTTTTATTACTGTGAGTTTCAGTGATGCTGTACTTGTAAGGTCTATAATCTATTGCCCATCCAAAATACTTCATTATCACTGGATTCTCTGGGGCCTTTCAGTATCACTGAATGTTGTCATGTTTAGGAAGTTCAGAAGAGGGTAAGCAGAAAAACAATTTTGCATTTCTCTAAACTCCTTATTGCCTTATATACATCTTCTATGCCACCTTGGATTTATATCCTCTACCAGAATACTCCCAGTTTCCCCAGTCCTCACTCACTGAAAAGTTTCTAATTACTTTCTGTAATTTTATGCCCACAATCCCCTCTATTCTTTCTGCATTCCTTTCTGTACACTGAATTAAAATGGATGCTGACAAACATACTAGCATTGTAATATTGTGTCCTTCCCTAATTACACATTCAGCACATGATAGGGAGATACAATTTCCAGCCTTTCCACCCCACCTCCAGTCCTGCATGGTAATCAAGAGCCAGAAGAGTCAGTTGTCATACCTCGGAGTGCCAAGGAAGCAGGCACTGACCACTGCAAGGATCACATGAGGAATCACACTTAGTGTCAGCTGGTTAAAGCAATGGCCAACGCTGCCCCGAACCCACACAGGGAGAGGATCTTCTGGGCTGGTCCCACACAAACTAGCCAGGATGTTCTCCATCCTCTGCTGGTAGTTCAGTGTGAGAGACAGGATGCCCTAGGGTAAAGAAAATGCAGCATGAGGTAAAAAACGTAAGAACTACAGCCCCAGTCCAAGATGGAGTGACGAGTAATTAACAGAGAGCTAGAAGCAAGTTCCTGGGTCATAGTCCAAGCTCAGCTATTGTTCACTCACTATCTTATAATCTACTTCATAAAACTATCAGGCTCCAGCTGAAAATAAATTATCTTGTTTATTCCCTTAAGTCACCTCAGGACTGCATTGCCCTGTGAGTTTGAAGCTTTCTTATTCCCAGGTTGATTTTTTTCTTTCCCGTGGCAAGTTTATACTCTATAAGTAGTATAAAGAAGTATGGATTGGCATGAAAAATATTTTGAGCTGCTTAAACAATAACCTATTCATTGTATTCCCATGTTCACAAGACTTCCCACCAGGGTACTCCTTAAGGCAGTGTAACACGAAACACCCAAACATTCCCCAGGCGGCAGGGGAGGATGCCGGTGCCATCCTGAGGAGCAGGATCCCCGTGAGCTACACACGACTGGCGAACCAGCCCGCTCTGCGTGCCGCCCCGCGGGCTGGGTGAAGCACCCCTGGCACTGCCCGCGCTGCCCAGGGGTTCTTCTGCTCGCACCAGCCCGTCGCCCCCGCCGCCCCCCGGCCCGTACCTCGCTCCCCGCGGCGCGGGCCCCGCGCCCCCTGGCGGCCCGGAGGACGCGCCGCGGCCCCGGCAGGATCCGGGCCCCAGCGGCCCTCCCAGACTTCAGCCTTTCCCTTAAAAAATACACGACCCAAACTAAGAGCTAGGCTCCAGCCATGAACGAGGGTGATTTTCCCCAAAATTCCTCTAGTTCTGTCCTGGTGATCATGTCCCTCCCTTCCTTCTCCTATGGTTTTTGGCTCACAGCATCTGAACTGTTTGCACGCTGACAGACACGGGATGCACATTACAGACTTGCAGTGTCACCGTGTCAACCAGCACAGGAATATTTATGGACCACTGTGTTATCCAGACATCAGCAGGTATAGCCCAGGCGATGCTTTTGCAGCTATAAATGTACTTTTACTGGTACAGCATTCTTTGCTTGCAGGCAGTACTACAAGATGAAAATAACACCGCTATAAGAGCATCTTGCCAATAACACATCAGTCTGCTCACAGTGGCAGAGGTCTCCTGGCATAGTGAGAGATGGTGATGTTAACCTGACACAACCATCTGAATAACACAGGGCAAACTAATCCTCTCTAGGTCACCTGTGTTGTGTTCAGTGACTGTCTGGAGCATGAACACACATACAAGCAGCACCACCAAAATGTGACACTCGTTCTTTACTATATGAATATGTTGCTATACTATACATACTCTTATATTAACTATAAGAGTATTGGGTTGGGGGAGTAAATGCACAACTTTCCAGATGAGAGAAAGTAAATCTGAGAGGACATCCAGCTCCATCTGCTCTGGGCTGTTATACAGTAAACAGGAAAGGGCTGTTAATGTCACCACACTACCAAGCAATTTTAGCTGCTACTGGTGATTTTTATAGCAGATCATCTGAATGCTTCAACTGTCCCAAACCCTTCCTCAGTACTCTCTTGCCAGGGAAAATAAGCATATAACCACCACAGGTAGAAAACTTTACTTTCAACATGCAGCTCACCAGAGACACAAAAATCGTTCTCTGAGCTTGGAGGTGTTATCAGTGCAGTGGAAGGAAAATATCAGTGGCATTCCTGAGAAAATAGAGCAATCTGGCTAAGGGAGTGTGGAACAGCAGCTAAGAGCAAGAGCTCAGTGACCACACTACTCTCTAATTGTAGCTTCCTTGAAAGGAGCAGGAGAGTGCATTTTCTGCAAGTCTCTCTCTCTCTCCCCCTCCCTCCTTGTTTAATAATCTTTTCTCACATGCCTGACAGCAATCTTTGTGTGTCAGGGTTGAAAGGTTGCCTTTACATGACCAAGCTACTCATACTGTACACTGTATTTGGCCAGCCTGCTCTTTTCCACAGGTCAGCCAAAGGTTTCTAGACTCAACTTTCCTGAAGAGGCCTTGAGAGTAAGTTTTATGTCCTCTCTGCTCAGGGAAGCTTCCCTTCAGTGAAAATGCTGTGAAAGCAGCAAACTCTCAAAACAGCAAGTAGGGGTTGTGTGAGGTTGAAGCACTGAATTGCACACAAGTGAAGCTGATTTCAGATTTCATGGTTCTGATGCCTTATTTATTTCCAAATGAAAACAAACAAACAACTCCAAACAAAAATGTTATGTCCAAAACCAACCAAACAAGTACTTTCTGTGTCTTAATAAGATACCAGAGAAATTCTCAGCTAACAACAAAGGACAACCTTTCTCCCCTGAACTAATCACTCTCAGAGCTTTTCCATTCAGCCACTGTGTATTTTAGCATTCTCTTTTTTCACGTGCTGCATCCTGCTTGCTCATCTCTCCTAACCTCTTCAGGTTCAAAACCATTAACTTTATCACTTCACCTGAAAGATGGAAAACTTTCATGTGCCACAGATTCCTTTTTGGTTCAGACAGCATTGCCTACACTCATTTGGAAAAACAAACACAAAGGGTATTAAAAAAAAGAACTCCAGGAAAATACCAATCCACCCCAACTGATCTGAAATTACTTTGCCTGTTCTGCATAAGTGCATTTAAATAGCATGACAGCAAGAATTTAAGTAGATATTCCTCCTTTTCCTGCTTCCTTTTGGCTATTTCTCCTGCTCCTGAATATTGCTGCTTACACCATTTACTGCTACATATTTGACAGATTTGAGATCTGAAGGCACCTGGAGTGGTGGCTATATTGCATTCATTTGGAAAAACAAACACAAAGGGTATTAAAAAAAAGAACTCCAGGAAAATACCAATCCACCCCAACTGATCTGAAATTACTTTGCCTGTTCTGCATAAGTGCATTTAAATAGCATGACAGCAAGAATTTAAGTAGATATTCCTCCTTTTCCTGCTTCCTTTTGGCTATTTCTCCTGCTCCTGAATATTTACTGCTACATATTTGACAGATTTAAGATCTGAAGGCACATGGAGTGGTGGCTATATTGCACACGAAGTACCTTGCACACTATAAATAATCATACACCTGGCAATTATAAAAAAAAATCAGAACATTCAAAATTGAAAAAAAACCCCCACAAACGTTGGGTTTAATTTAATCCACCCCTACAGGCCATGCAGGCCAGATTTTATTCACTATTATCCAGAGTTTGTTAATGCTCTAGGTTGATAAATCCCAGTGAGGAAGCACTATCTGGCAGAGGGAGACTGCCCCCCCTTTTCTGATGAATTTGTTTTGTAACAGATTACTTAATACCAATCCCAGGACTCAGGGAATCAGCGTAGGCTGCATGCCCATTCCACTTCCCAGCTATAAGTAAATATTGAGCTGAAACAGAAGCCAGCCTAGACAAGCCTTAAATTCAGAAATATCAGCCTTGTAATTATAGATGTAAAATCTCTGAAAGCAATTGTCTGTTTGGATGTGTTTTCTGTGCTCCCAGCCAGGACTCTGCTATCAGTGGAACCATCCTCAAATTCCATGACGACACAGCCGAGGAAGGTTGGATTACTTGGCTCAGTCCAAAATTTTTCATGAACAGGCTGCTTTGCCTGGACCTGAAGGCACAAAATAGATATTGTGCCCTGTTTTCCAGGGAGAAATTTAATGCCAAGTTCAGAAGACAGATGAGTATCTTCTACTGCATCTCCTCATGAGAACACCAATTCTGTCATAGAAACACAGAAACTGTCTTTGTTGTTACTCATAGCCTAGCCATTCAACATTAGATGGTTGTCTCATGCCCCGGATCTAGTCTTGACTCAGACAAGAAGGTAAAAAATTATAATTAAGGTATCACGTTTTTCTCTTTACTGGTGTGCTTCTTAACCTAATGGTCCAACCTGAATTAACTTCAATTCTGATTTCTGTTTACTTGTTTACACAATGCTACTCCTAACTTTTCTTATTCTGTTCTTTCTGAATGTCATTTGCTTCCCTTTCTTATTTGGGGCCTAATGAGCATTCAGAGATACCTTATTACCCCAACATTGCCCTCAGCATCCAATTAGCTAAAACCTCTGCAAGCAGCAGCTTGCAAGTTCAACTATGAGCCTTGGAATTCCAAAGAGGAGTTCAGGAGCTGAACTTCTACCAAAACAGACTGACTGGCACCTCTGTCATCCACCGAGAATCTAGAATACCAACTGCAGGGATGTTACAAAAACCTCTGCAAGCAGGTAAGGACCTTGCCTGACTTTTTCGAACAGACTGACTGGCACCTCTGTCATCCACCGAGAATCTAGAACACCAACTGCAGGGATGCTACAAAAACCTCTGCAAAGCAGGTAAGGACCTTGCCTGACTTTTTAAATCCCTGAGACAAACTGCAGTGCTTCCTCTTCCAAAGACGTGACAAGTCTCAATTTGCTCTGCACCATTGGGCCCAGATTTCAGTACTGATTTTAAGAATGATTTAACTGGATTCCACTAGGGATGCTCAGTCTCTTTAAAAACTTAGCTTCGTAAGGGATGTGGTTAAAAGATGATACTACATCTAGTTGAAAATGAGTTTATAAATTGCAATTATAAATTGTAATTGTAGGGCAATGCTCAGTAAGATGACAAAGTGCTAGAAAATGTTAATGAGCACTGGTCAGTCTCCAACAAATGGAATTTTTCTCTTAGGAACTCTTTTAACATCACAACACACAGGGTGTTTGCTTTCTTTCTACCACTTCTCCCATGAGCAATTTTCTTACGGATGTGCAGATCAGACACTTGAATGAACTTTCTCTTCAGTTTTTATTATCTGGATTCTTTCACCTTCCAAATGCCACTGAAATCTATGATGAGAAACCACCAGAATACCTCCTGTAGACCTCCTTTGGCTATAAGGCAAAACAGTTTGAAAAAAAAAATCTGGCATTTTGCAAAGATTTTAGGTATTAGATGCACAACTATTATAGAAAACTGAATTTAAAAATGTTTTGCAGAGTTTCTTGGGTTTGTGGCTTTTTACTTGTCCATTTAAAAACCAAACTATAGTTAAAAACTGATGTAAAGAAAGCAATAACGTGGAAGAGATGTCCAAAACCAAACAAATTTTCTCACTCTTTTTATCACACTGAGCTATTTTTATTTACTTCAGTTGGTGAAACCGAGTGCTTGATGCAGACACCTGACACAATGGCATGAAAACATGTTCCTCCTTTGGATAAAGTAACAGAACATATTGAACATATTTGGGTAACAGTATATTCCTTACAATGATAAACTACTTGTATGTGATCTACCACAAAAAAAATAGAGGGGAAATTCCAAAATACACATCAGTTTTGTGGTTATCTCAAAGTGTTCTGCTTCTCTGGGTGTCACTGAGTCTGCTGCTTAGGGCAGTTAATTGGAACAGGTTGAGCATCCATTGGTCCCACAGGAGGTGGGTTCACAGTCTGCTGCACATCCTCAAAGATGACAATCTCATCCCAGGAATTCTTACAGTTGAATTAAGGTCACTGATAAACACTGCAAGCCTTAGGACAGAAAGGTGAAAAGAGGACAATGGTAACAGAAAATAAGTCTTTATATAGCTCATGCTTATTTTGATGACTGAGTGCATTTCCTGAGCCTGGGTAGTGATGCACTCATTCAGAAAACCTTAAAGGGGGTCAGTTTTAATACAATTGTAGTAAGCCACTAGCAGCAGAAATATCAGACAGATCACCATCCTGCTGCTCTTTAGTGCTACTACTTATAAATAGTATACTTCAAAATGGTGTGTATGTTCGAGCAATTACATTCCCAAAAGCAAGATTTCAGCCAAAATGGACTGGCGCTTCAAATAAAATCCCTCACATGTCATTCAGCTAAGAACAAATTACAAATCAAGATATAAAAGCTTGTGGATTTTGGAAATGAAGCTGAAGAGCTTTATGAGAGCCTTCATTTCTCTGTTTTCACTTCTTTTGACCGCTACCCCATCTTAGTTAACTGAAAACCCCCTTCCTCTCTGGAGACAGCCCCAGAACCAAGGAAGAGAAATGTTTCTGGAGACACCTCCCAGAACCAAGGAAGAGAAATGTTTCTGGAGACACCTCCCAGAAGCACGGAAGGGAAGTGTTCCCGGGGTCGCACGGGAGTGGAAGCTGTCCCGGGCTCTGTCCCGCTGGAAGCGCGGTCGGTGGCCGGCGCTCAGGTAGGAGGGAGGATGCGGGAAGCCATTTCCCACCCTGCCATCCCTGCTGCCTAGAGCACGGAAAGTGGTTCAGGAGCTTTGTGAGCTGGAGGCTCAGCCTCGGCACCGCCGGATCGATCAGGCAAGGATGGCTTTCAAACACGCTTCTGCTTGAAGGCAACACCGCCGGCAACGACCTGCTCCACAGCACAGTGCGTGCGTGTAGGGGAGGGAACAAAAACCAACAAAAAGCAACCAAAAAAAAAAAAATCCCAAACAACAGAAAACCGCCAAAGCCGAACGTGCCCCAGTCACGGCCGTTGGGGTCCGAAGGGCGGAGAGAGGTAAAAAGGAGCTGCACAGCCGAACGCAGCAACCCCCGACTCCCGCCCCACCGGCGGCCGCCATTTTGTGCGGGCGTCCCCAGGCACCGCCCCCCCCGCCCGGGCTCCCCCTCCCGGCCCGGCTCGGGAGCGCGCAGGGCGGCGGGAGCGCGCACGCCGGGGGGGCCGGTCCGGAGGAGCCGCGGGACCCCCGGGCCGCTGGCGCCATCATGTACCGCTCCGGCAGCGGCCGCTCCGGCCCTTCGTCCTCCTCCTCCTCCCACCGGCTGAAGGAGGGCGGCTCGTCGGCGTCCCGCGCCTCCCGCTTCAGCGCATCGGGGCCGGGCGGTCCCCGTCGCCGCACCGCAGCCGGAGGTTGCCGTCGCCGCCGGGAGGAGCGGGGCTCGGCGGGCCCCGGGGCCGCCGGGGCAGCGAGCACGGAGACGGCGGCAGCAGCCGGGTAAATACTGCCGAGCGCCGGGGGGCGCGGGGCGGGCCTGCCCCTCGCCCGGGGGCTGTCAGAGCCCCAGAGCTGGCGCGGCCAGGTCCTTGCAAATTACACCGGCCCCGGGCGCTCCCTGTGCGGAGGGAGAGCCGCAATTTCCCTCTATTCCTTAGAGAGCCAAATGGGGGAAAAAAATGCATTTTAAGTGATGTTTTCCCACTGCATTTTAATTGCATTTTTTCCATTGCATTTTTATTTGTCTTACTGGCTAGAGCCATTTTAGAGAAGGTTGGAAGATGATGCTGTCTTTTCTCTAAGGCAGAGGATGGCATTTTCCTCAATTTAACACATTGGGTTTTGTTAGTGCATAAATATCGTTTAACTTATGCGAATACAACTTTTTGGATAGCATGTTGAATGAGTACTTTGTCTGAATTCTTCCTGCTGTCACGGCGGGCGTACAAAGAGGGCTGATACTGATTTATATCTTTGAGAGGTATTCTTTGGTAGGCACCGCTTTGTAGTCGGGGCTGTGCACAGGGTATTCCAGTCGTCTCACTTTGTCTTGGCAAAGTCTGACTTGGGTATGCGAAGCTGTTTTGGTGTCTGTGGTGGATGGCATCTTGGATGCAGGCACCTTCGTAATAAATCAAAGTGTGAAGACTTTTTTTTTTTTTTTTTTTTTTTTTTTTTGCGTGAGTGGGATTCGCTGACTTAGGTTTCTGTTCCTGCTCCTTGGTGCAGTGATTGTTGTGTCTGGTGACTCTGAGCTGTGCTAAGTGTAATAAGTCCATGGTGCATTTGCACTACCATGGAAGAAGAGATTTCCCTGCTGGGGTACCCTAAGCAGTGGTTGCATGGTCACTCAATCCAGGACACATGGAGTGCAAAGAACGGCACCCCCTCCTTTCCCACTGCTTTGCAGGATATTCAACCCTCTCCCCTGTGCTCAGCCTGGATTTGTGAGTTGCGGGGTGGGCTGATGTGAGGGAACAATGTAGCTGAAAGTCGGTCCAGCAAAAGTGTGTTATCTGCTGGTTCATCTCCTGGTGGGACTCCCGAGGGAGAATGGGGATTGCCCTTTCTCCTGGTGATACAGGTTCTTACCGCGTTTCTTTGAAGCTGCAGCCATAGGTCATGGGTGATTGTAGTGGCATTAAAATTCAGGTATTGGTGTTATTTCTTATTGAAAGGTGAGTTGCCCTGGAGATGCAGGAAGACAATGTTGTCTTGGACTGTTAAGCCAAGCCAGGCTAAGCAACCTGCCTCTGGCCAGTTGTTTTCATGCGGTATTTCACCCTTATCTCCATCCTCTTTCGTTTCCTGAATGGTAACCTTGCAAATTGCATTACTAATAATATCCACAATGAAAATAAGTAGTTTTTAAAAAGGAAATGTTTTTCTGTCTGATTCATGTAAATTCATGTTTGATGATGTGTTTGGCTTGATGGACAGTTGCATGTTGACAACTGGTGAGTGGAAACCTGGGATACAGGACAGAACTTTCTTAAACTGACTTCACCATCACTCAGTCTCCCATTTCACTGTATCCATGATAGCCTGTAAACCTGTGCTGCTGTAACAAAACTTTCAGAGCTGACTGTTGGTGGTTTAGACTTTGAGAAATTTGATGTAGGAGTCTTGCTAGAAGCCTCCTACTCCCTCATTGATTGGGAGGAAGGCCACCAAAAACGTCCACTTTACACTAATATTATTTTTGACAAATGCTGCTCTTCTAGTGTTACTTTGCACCCTCCTGGCTCAAGTTAAATCAGTCACCTCAGCAAATTGTTACAGATTAATTATTTTTTCTTGCCTGTTCTAACTTCAGAGAAGAATTGAAAAACTATTTCTCCTAGAAATTAGGCATTAGCAGGTTAGCTGATGCTGTACTGATGAGCCAAATGGATTTTTTGTTTATTTACAGGATTACTGCATTTAAGGAAAACCCTTCTGTAGGAAGCAATTGTCACAATAAGAGATCTTGAGACAATTAAATAGAGTTCTTCAACCTATATTGTGCTGACTCTTGCGTTTGCTAAAGCCCAGTGTAAGTAATTCTTAGAGTGTAAACATCCACATTTTTTTCCCTGGAAGCTTTTGTCCCCCAACAGGTGTTTGACTGACAACTGACACTACTTCTTCAAAAGTGATGTTACAAAGCATAAAATACGTATGTAGGTTTGTTTTATTTTTTAAAAGTACTGTTTACAAAAGTAGTGTTAATTAGAGAAAGATAAAGCTGGGATTATGCTGTCATTTTCCAAAGAGTGGCATTAAATATGATGGAAACAGAGCAGACAGCAGATATGTTGGGTTATCATGACTAGTTAGGGTAAAGTTTTAATAAAATTTTTGGGATTTTATGACTTAAGACCCTCTCTTCCCTTCAGAAGCTTGAGAATACGAAATGTGAAGATATGGGAAGTTACACAAATATATCAGAAAGTGGGATTTTGGAGCTGTCACTGAAAGGACATGAATTCAGAAGCCCGAGGAAGAGGAATTTAGGTTGCAGCAAGAAAAGAGGACTTGAAAGGGGAGTATGTGCATAAGGGTAGGAGATGTAATATGTAGAATGAAGACACTGATGGAATAAGGGCATGGGGTTGAAATGGAGAAAATAATTTGGTTTTGTACAAGTTCCAGGTTATTGTCCCTATCCTACAGCAGCTTTAGAGATTTCTTACTAATTTTTCTTGTTTCTGGGAGTTGTTTTTTTGTTGTTGTTGTGATTTTTAAAAAGTATAATTATTTGTGAGATGGAGTACATGCATTTCCAAGTTACAGCATTGTTGCACATTTTGTTGTGCATAACTGAGATGCTGGCAGTGGAGCCATGTATAGGGTGTTATAAGTAGGAATAGTGTTAGTTTCTTAATAGCTGAGGAAAACTTTGTGGTGATTGTGGAGAACACTGGAATGACAGCAAAGGTTTGGGGCAAGTACTGAGAAATGTTATTGAGGAGAGGAAGGTCAGGGCTTTACAGTGAGAGATTTTGGCAGACTTTTATTTGTTCTTGCAAGGCTGACACGTGCTGCTTTTATTTATCCCTGCTGACCTGCGTGCTTGTTCTTTTTAAAGGTTTGTTTTAGCTTCTTTGCTTTCTTGTAAGAAAATTGGCTGAGATTAGAGGACTGGAGCATGTGGGGTCAACAGAGGATGGAGAAATGACAAGCAGGTATGCAACCTGTTCAGTAATATGGCAGTGGTAACTGTGGTTTAGGTGGCAGAACAGGAAGGGAGAAAAATGTGGTGCATTGCACACATAGGTATGACTAGTGGTGGTATTCAGTGCTCCAGATACAAAAACCTTTTAAAAGTGGAACTTCTCCAGTTCAAAAAAATACATTACAAAATCATGAAGTTCAAATATTTGCCACCATAATGGCCGTCTCTGGGCAATTTGTATAGATCAGTCATGAGCAATCCAAACATCCCAATCATTCTGAATGTAAACTGTTTCTTTCCTTTGCCCAGAGTTTGTTCTGGGATGTAATCATCACTTCTGTGTCTTCAGTGGAGGTGATTGTCATCTGTGTGCCCACAGTCTTGATGACAAGAAGGTGGCCTTGAAGATTGTAATTCATTGAGGCAGCCCTCAGAATTCAGTGTTACAATGGGCCCAAGTCAGGATGTGTTTGTATGAGACACATGCATCTTGAATATGTTGTATCTCATCCAGGCTGTTGCAGGATCATATTGTGCTGGACAAGACAGTTGGTCTTCAAAAGTCATTAACATATGTTCTGATAAATGCTGGGATTCAGCATAATGAACAAAACAGAAATCACTGATATGTTACCTTAGAATAAAGCTGTATGCACAATGGATTCTAGTACAGATTTGTACTGCAAGTGGATTTTGTTAGCTAAACTTGTAAAGGCATTCTTTTGCTTTTGTTGGAGATTATGGAAATTATTCCTTTGGTCCCTTGGAGGATTGAGCTGAACCTACTGCATGTTCTCAGGGCGGATGTGGACAATTCAGTGCACCTGCTGCTTGCTACTGCCGTTTTCAGCAGTGAAAGTGGTGTGCAGTGCATGACTGGTTTGGCAGAACTGAAGCTGGTTCACTGCTTCGTGTTAGGCAGAATTCTATATTGTGTTGGTTTAAAAAAGCAAATCAAGTATCTCTGTCTTTAGGCAGTCTCACCTGTTTTTTATGGATCTCCCCTTAACTCTGATCAGTCCTGTACTCCAGTGCTATATTTTAGAAGAATGTGGGGCATAACTAGTTAAACATAATTTACCAGTGATGGTAAATCACTGTGTAAATTTTGTGTACTGTGTATGTGTATGAAGGAAGGTCTGTGCAGAGGCAGTGAGCTTAGGTCTTCTCTGCTGTAGATTTTACAGAGGCAACTTTATTTAGTTTACTCTGGTTTATCTCTGCCAGCTTTCAAGAATGGTAATGGGAATTTTAGACCCTATAGAAGGTTTCTAGTGGTATTGGTGTTTTTAGTATTATGTTGTGCTTTTCTGATGAAAACAGCAGGAGGTGAGGAAAACTGTTAAAAACATCACTGCTAGGAAAATCTTTGTTTACACTGGTTCATGTTGTTACTAAAGTTGTAAAGGGCCAGAAATCCAGACACTTTATTCAGAAATTCCTGGCACTGTTTTTTATGCAATGTTTATTTAGCTGCTTCTTCTCTACAAAGAAAGGAGAACAGCAGCAAACTTGGGACTTTGTGACTTTCTCTTTGGTTTTATATCTTCCAAAATGGTGCTTTATGAAATGTCTTTTTGAGTTGAAAATTTCTAGATAATTTAAATATAGAGCATGTTATCAGCACCTGGGATGAGAAGTTGAATGCAGTCAGTACCCTCCCCTTCCTTTAGTAACAAAATAGAATTGAAGTATTTGGAACAGTTGTTCTTCTAGTTTGATTTTGTAATTGATCCATCCCCCCAAGTCGAATTTATTAAGCAGAGCAGAATCACTTTCCGTTCTGTAGCTGAGATGAAAATCCCCTGATTGATGGGCTTGCATCTTTCTTCGATTTACAGAGGCGCTCACCGAGTCTGCGCTCGGAGGCTTCCCTGGAGCACAGTTTGCGGATTACCGTGGGCAATGACCGCTATTGCATCGGCACGCCGGAGCGGAGGAGGCTGCCCGACAGACTGGGCTCGCCAATTGATAACCTGAGTGACAGGTATGCTCCTCTGCAGCTGGGGATTCACCTGGGTGAAACAGCGTGGGAAGGGCTCTGCTGGTTGAGATCAAACATCCCATTAGCCCACTGAATGCCTAGGGAATGAGGGTAAGCATGTAGTGGTGCTTCCCAGGAATATTCCCTCAGCCTCTTGCAAGTTGTGATACAGAGAATTCCTGAATGAAAGTCTCTGTTTGGAGTTACACAGGCAGAGACTTCTTCTCTAATTTTTGTCAGCTGCTTCTAAATCCCATATAAACTAAGCGTGCACGTCATATATTGCAGGAGGGAGTGTGATGTCAATCCCTTGGGTACTTCCTTCCCCTTAAGGGTGGGATGTCACATGGAGAGACTTTATTTGACATTTCACTGCTCCAGTCACCTTCTGTTTCTTATGAACCTACCTCGTCCTTACTGAAAGGAAGGTTGTTTAGTATAAGGATAGTGTAAAGCTTCAACTTCCTCACTTATTGGGAGAAATTGTCTACTTTCCTGATTTTTGAGACTAGTCTGGAAAAAAACTCTAATGCACCTTGAAAGATATTATTATTTTGACTTTAAAAACCTTGCAGAAGAATATAGTCAGACAGTCTCATACATTATAAAGGAAATGTTAGAATTCTTAGGATCCCTTGACTGAAATTGGAGAGAAAGTGTTAATGGAGAGAATTATTTTGTGTTAAAATACTTCACTGCTGTGAACAGTGAAGTGTAAATATTAGTAGATACAATTAGGAACTCTTTGCCTTCAGTAGGAGAACCAGTATAATCTGGCGAAAGAAAGAAAATCGGAAAACTGTGCAAATAATTCTTTGTCTTGAATTGCAGAATTAAAGATGGCATAGCTTCTGTCCCAGAGCATACAGTTGCACTTTCAGGTCAGAGATAAGCATCCAGCACAGGAAAAATCATTACCACTTCCATTTTTGATGCAAATATCATCATCTGTTAAAAAAAAAAAAGAGAGAGGGAAGTGAGAAGAAGAAATGAATTTCCTGTCTTTCTCAGGTGTAAAGCTGAGTTTCAGCAGGTGTAGAAAACCAAATGAGAGTTTGGTTTTTGGTACTGTCACTTTTATGCCTTTACCTCAGTTCTCCTGTCATCAGTGTTTGATTTGTAAATCCCCTGTGCAGTTTGTAAATGAAATGAGTGTGTATGCTCAGGGAGAGTACAATGGTTGGAAGGAAAAGGAAGTGATATGTTGGGAACTGGCACTTATCTGGCAAATTATTGGCAAGGAGCATTTGAGGACAGGGGATGGTGGTGTTGGTCCCATTGCTTCATGTTCTCAGGTTTTAGAGAGAGATTTTAGATTTAACCTGCTCTGTGGTCCTGATGCATGGTTAGGAGTAACATCAAGTATAGCACAGTTTATTTAATATAAGAGTGATTTATTTAAATCACAAAAGTTGACTTCTCTGTTACAGAACCCATAGATGTGAAACAGAATGGTAAGAATAGACTCCAGAGAAGGTTTTAAAGTGACAGATGAGTTAGAAGAAGATAAAGTGAGATGAGACCATGTAGACTTTAATCTTTAAGTGACTTCCTTGTATTTGTAGTGTAAGTATGCAAGAACTTTGTGTTGTTACATTTGCTTTTTTTTTTTTTTTTTTTTGTCTAATCTGTGCAGGCTGCACTTTTCTGAGTGATGCCCATTGTTCAGAAGTTTAAAATATGTGATGACTAAGTCACCTGTTAGCTTTTCCTAAATCATCTAGGTACTACTTCTGAATTCTAAGTTTCCACACTGCTAACCATTTTATTTGTTTTCAAAAGATATTTGGTTTTTGATTAAGGACATTGTTTATCAAGTATTTTTCATCATGTATTTTTTTCCTTTCTCTGAGAGACTGCCCTGGTACTGGTATGTAGACTTTATGTCTCTCACTGGGCTGTAAAATGGTCTTTATTGTTACTGCTCATATCACATTTTTATTTTTCATGTGATATGTTCTCATTCTAATTTAAAAAAAAAAGGTATCCTGAAGATGTCTTTTCAAATTTTGAAGTAATTGGAGCAAATAATTCTGAATTTAGTTATTCTCAGCTATTTTTGCTAACTACTCTACTATTATTGCTATTACTCTACTATTATATTTCAAGCAATCACTTTGACACATTATTCTCTGTAATTTATAGGGTCTTGGGATGGTGGAGAGGTTCATTAGTCTATAAAGGAAATAAAATACCAAAGAAGGGAAATCAGGGAGGCTTTCAGAGTCTCCTGCAGCAGTGGATTTTCAGGATACCCGAGGAGGCTTTCTAAGGGCGTGTGTTCCCATGCAGGTCTGTCCTAAAACATCTGTAAGAACTTGCCCCATGTTTCTAGGGCAGCTGGTCTCCTGCACATGTCTAAATAGGCACACTGAATGCTGCTGCTCTGTGTCTTCAAGGTCACCTAAGCAGCTTCAGTCTCCTGCTTGGACCAATAAGTGTTATTTTGTCTTCCAGAATCTCAGTCTGTCAAAGTGAAAAATAAAATCTTTTTCTCTCTCCCCATCTTCCATCTGTTAGGCTCTCAGTATTTTTAAGACATTCTACTACTGTCTGAGCTGGCACAAGCTATAGAGAGCATCCCACCAGTTCTTTCATCTGAGGTTAATACAAAAGATAGACCAAATCACTGCAGAGACTTGGTCTGCATTGAGCTGTGCTCTGAAATAGTGTTTTTTGGCATGATATCAAGAGTAACAGTTGGCTAGAATATGAACAGCTCATCTGACTCCCTGTTCAAAGACTGTGTATTAAAGTGGAGTCCTGTTGATTGCTGGCAGCAGAATACCACTCTTTATTTCTATTTCTGTGTATGTGAATAAACATGCTAAAAAGTAAATTACTTTACACTAGTTGTAGGTCTCTGAGGCATCATGTGTGTGTAGCCTGTGGTCTGTTTTCCATCTCTGAAACTGCAAATCCCAGTGATTCATGGGTTCTTTGTTGGTGAAGGAATTGGGATGGTCACAATACCAATGGATACCACTTGTATCCTCTCTTGAGGATGCAGTAGCTGGGAGTGGACATCACTGGCTGAGAGCATGCAAACCAATTAAGAGGGATGTAACTCTGTAGGACTGTATGCACAGAAAACATGTCTCAAAGAATCCTGTAAGGCAAGTAATCATTTTTCCCACAGCTGTATTTAATTTTCAGGTTTAAAATTTGCATTTTAGCTGTTCAAAGTGTATTTGGAATGTCTTGCTAGTTTTAGTAGATTTGCTGTTCCTTTCTTTCCAAAGTGTGATTAAAAATTCTTGTGCTTTGTCACTGCAGTCAGTTTGAATTGTAGGTGACAGCTGCCAGACATGCATCTAAATAATTTTATTTGCACAAAAATCAGCTGAAGGTGTATGGTGAAACACAGCTATTGCTCCATCAGATGTATCCATGCAGCTTGTACAGGTTTATCAGGCTCTCAGAAAATGTGCCACTGGGAGTAGACGTACCTTTATGTAGGTTGTGAAAACAACATTTATTTATGAAAATTAATTTAGCTATTTGTAGATATTGTTGTGCTTTTGGAGGAGGTGGATATGTGTAGTTTGCTGAAAACTGGAAAGATACCACATAATACAATGGGTACAGGTGCATACCAGATTTGTTTTATAAGTTGTGTTGGACTGATAAAGTATCTAATAAATGCTTTGCAATGATGCAAGTTAAAGTGAAGTTTTGTGTTGATTTTGTTCTTAAATATGCATGTGTAAACTATGAAAATAGCCAGGGAAAACACCTAGTCTGTGCATCTCTGTTATTCTTTAGTCTGTAGTGAAAAACTGGGACTGCAATTTATTTGCAGATTTTTTTTGAAGGTGTCTTCTGGCATGACTTGATTTGTCCCTTCTCAAATCTATGGAGGGACCTTTTAGAGTAGGAGGAGGTGATTTTTGTGGATTCAGGCCATTATACATAGTTTATTTCAAATTGATTCACTCACAAAAGAGTTTTCTGTCTCATTGATGTCACTTAGGGAGCACATTTTCTTTCTTGGACAGTCTTGCTAAATTTTGAAATATCAATGAGTGAAACCAGCAGCTGGTAGCTTTTAAAGTGGTTTGGTTTGTTTCTGCCTTATCTAAAGAAAAGTCCCAGAAAAGTTTTTAGGCATCAGGAAAAAGGCCTTAGTTAAAACAGTACCCCTATTTGTAGGCGTCTGTAGGAATTGGTCCAAAAGTAGATACTCCAAGAGAAGAAGCTGGTTATTCTGATGTTGTGACAGTTGCACATCCACTATGTGTAATAATGCAGGGGCTGGCACAGAAGAATGGTACCATTACACTTAAATCTCCTTGGTTTATACAGAAACTGAGCTTCTTTTTAGTTATGGGGTTCATGTGATTAGTGACAGTGCTGTCTGCATATCATGTTGCAAAAGAAAATATTGGTAGAATTTGTGGTCTTTGTCAACAGCTGAAGATAAAAAGAGGATCTGGTTGCATTTGCCAGTGTGAAACTTTGAATAATTCATAGGAAATCTGACCTCGACATCTTACTGGGAGAGGCAAGGAAAGGGATTGTGGTCTGAAATATGATAGTAAAGGGTTTTTAAAATGTGTAGTCTCTCACATTCACAGAAACAAATCCGTCCTATCAATTTTTCAAGGCTCTAATTTCTCAGTTTGAGTTGAATTGTTCGTGTCACTGCATTTGCAGGTAACTTCCTAGGACAGGATGTACAATACCATTAAAAATAATTCTCCCTCTCCACCCTGCATTTTAAGTACATAAAATGTTGGTTCTGTTTAGTAAGGGAGATGTTATTTTGAAACTGGTTTGGAAATTTCTTACCCTTGAGTAGGAGTAAGACTTTGTTTAATCTGATTCAAGTACTTCTCTGTTTCTCTCACGCAGGGATGATGTGGCTGACGGTCCAATATTCACTAGAGGCCTCACGTGTCCTCGCGGCCTTGAGAGATACCCAGCTCATGAGGATCAGCCGTCGAGTCCCTTCCTTGCGAGGCATGACGAGGACTACCGCAGCCGAGACGTCCTGCACCGGCCAGAGTACAGTCCACACTATGGCCGTCGGGAGGAGCTGCCTCGAGCCGACAGGGATGGCGACAAACTCAGGAGATCCCCCTACCCACTGAGGCCAGAGGAGAGGGGACGAGAAATAAAGCGTCCACGGTATGAGAAGGATGAGAAGATGCATGGTGTGAGTGGAGAGCATCAGGGTTTCTCATCAGGAACACGAAACTACCGCAGGCGCAGCCGCAGCCGTAGCAGAAGCCTGAGCCCGTCATACCTGAATGAAGAATTCCGAGAGCTTGACCGTGCAAGGAGGAAAAGAGAAGAAGAAGAGCGCAGTCGAAACTTGAATCATGATATTTCAGGCAGTGGCTACACGATCCCTGGCTTGACTAACACATTACAGACTCCTGAGCCTCGGTACACATACAGGCCTGAAGAAATTCCACCCATGCCCAAAAAATCTATTTTGAAGAAACGAGTAGAGATGGAAGTAGAGTCTGCTGTTCAGGTTTGGTCTCTGTGTATCTGTCTACATGCTTCTACTTCTCAAAACAGTTACTTCAAGATACAGAATGTTAGTTTGATTTCCAAAATAGGAAAGCCAAATCTTTGTTTCCCTTTCCTTAAGAAGACAGGTATCTTTCTGCAAGGTGGTATAAGTTTGAAATGCATTAGAAACTTTAAATGGTTATGGCATTTAAGCAGGAATCATATATATACACACCTCTATATCTATCTATCTATCTATCTATCTATCTATCTATCTATATACACACAAACACACCCATATATATATATATATACACACACCTATAAATAAATAAATAAATATAGTCTTAGACAGAATAAAATGTCTTTGTGGAAATTCAACCCATGAGGCAGAGATCTGGGCCACCTTTCAAAGAAAAGCTGGCTCTCACATAGTACCACAGGCAGTTAGGATATTGACTGAAGCTCTTCCTCTGTCACAGTGTATCTTTCTTGTTTCTTTATAGACTTAGAGAACTGCCTAATGCATCTTCAGTACCTCTGTTTGAAAACAACTTTTAGATTTCCTTATTTTTCCCTTTGAACTATAGGCTGGGATCAGCCCTACTTAATTTGTACCAAACCTATACCAATTGATTCTCAAAATTAGAGCAATGGACAGATAAGTGGCTGTGACTACTGTGATAAACTGGCTTTTTGTGTTTAACACATCACTTTGATTTGCCTGTTTTACTGATCAGTGTTGGTTTGACAGTGACATATTTATCTCAGGAGTGCTCAGATACTGAGCATCCCATTCCATACCTATTGCTGGAAATGTATTTAATATGGCATTAATTATGAATATCTGAAGAAGTGACTGAGACTAACCCCAGTGCAGTAGTTTTTATCTGACTTAAGGTATTGAAATCCTATGTGACTATGACTAAACTCAAAGCATATCCAAAATGATATAACAGGATTTAAATTTAAAAATTTCAGTTCTTACGCTTGCAAAAAGTCATGAAATATTATTGATTTTTTGTGTTCTCTGAGATAAGTATTCATTGTTGGACATGGCATTCCAGAATCATCAGGCAACTTGGTTTGTAATCTTTTGTGTTCTCTTTCAACTGCATATTGTCTCTTCTAACACTTTTATTCAGCTGTGAACTCTAGGAGAAATGAACACGTTCTTGTGTTCTGTGAAGTGCATAGTGCCTTAGAAGTAAATAGTATCTTCTTTCTTTCAGCCCGAGAGCTTTTCAAGCAGTCCAGCCCCCAGCAAGGATCTTCCTCTTCTTTCTAGTCAGTCTTCTTTGCCCCAGACCAACAACATAGCTCCTTTTGCTTCTGAAGTGGAAAACTTTCTCAAACGGTTTAACAAAGGCTCTCTTGTGGAGGCTTCAGACAAGGAGTTGCATGAAGGTTTGTGTGAGTGGAACCCACTCTCTGGGCCTCCCAAAGACAATTTGGTGTTTGAAGAGAACTTCGGAAGCTTCTTAAGTCACAAAGAAAAAGTAGAACCCAAGGCAGAGCCCACTGATCGCCATACTGACTTCCTGCTGCCTCATGAGAGGGCCAGTCAGGATGGCAGTGGTTTCTCCCGAATTCTGGGCATGATGGCTGATTCTGTCAGTGCTCAGGAGAAGAGGAGGCGTAGCTTTCCTGACATTGAGGACGAAGAGAAATTTCTTTATGGTGATGAGGATGAAGAGACCAAAACTGAATCTCTCCCCATAGAGAAGCCCCCGGTAAGTTGTGGCAATGAGATAATAATACAGAAAATGAGCCCACCTCCTTCTCCTGCTCCAGCTGTCAAGATGGATCCTTTAGAAGAGCCAAACGCAGAGTATGCAAAGATCCACGACTTACTCAAAACCATTGGACTTGACATTGGTGTTGCTGAAATTGGAAAACTGGCCGTTCGTACCCAGGAGCGCCTTCACGGCAAAAAGCTGGCGTCTCGTTCTCCGGAGCGCCGCTCTGCGGACACTCGCCGACTGGACGCCTGGGAGCTGCGCCGCAGCCGCAGTGACACCCGCTCTCCTGAGTCCGGCCAGCAGCGCTCAGCGTCACCCCCGGGCTCTTTCCAGCAGCCTAAAGATGCAGCCTCTCTTCAGAAACCAGACTATGCTATGGACAAGCTGGTGGGACAGGAGATACCTCTACCTGCACCTGAACAGTGTCTTCCTTCTGTCTCTCTCATTCCTGCAATTCCACCAACCCCTGCTAGTTTGCCACCTACACCTACTTCTGTTTCCCAGTACCAAATTCCCAGCTATTCCCACTACACTGCTGCTCAAATGCCCCAAAACTATGCCTCTCCCACAATGGCTCCTCCAGGATATGATGCATATGGGCACTATATGGCATATGCAGCCTCTGGATGGCCCATGTACTCCCCTGCCCAGCAGCCTAATCCTACGCTACCAGAAGCTCATGGTCTTCTTACCATGGCCATGTCAGCAAACCCCACTCGTCCCAATCTCCGGGTGATTGAGACAGTCTCTCTGGGAAAGGATGTTCCTGATGTGAAAAGAGATGGTTCTGTGCTTGTTCAAGTCCCTACCACTCCTTCTCATTCCAAAACACCCCTTCGTCTGTCATCACACCCTCTGAAAAATACCTCAGAAAGGATGTCGGATGAAAAAAATCGGGCAGCTCAAAAGCAGAAGGTATGTGAGGTATTCTGATACTTCAGAATGTGTTGGATTGCATGATTGGTGGTGTGGCAGCTTTTTCTCTTCAGGTGCACCTTTCTTTTTCTGAGTTGCTCCAGTTTAAAAATAGTTTGACCTAGTTTACTTCTGTTAAAGATTTCTAAGCATTTGTCTGTATTATTCCCTGACACCTGTAAAAAATGCATTTTAAATCTCCCAAAGTTGTATGCCACTGGCTGTGGCAGAACAGATGAAATCAAAAACAAAGTTAAATTTCTTTGATCCAGCCAAAATCTTACAGAGAAAACACATGGTGGCCACAGCCTGGCTTTATTCTGCTGAGAGTTAGGTATTGAAATACCTGAAGATATCTGGGGATATGTTAAAATCTGAAGGGACAGTGTAAAGAAAATGAAATGGATTTTCTTACTGATGTCCAGTGGCAGAACAAGAGGTCACTGAAACACAGGAGGCTCCATCTGGACATGCTATATTGTGCAAAATACCATGGTTATACCTGTATTAGACATTCTTAAATACATACTAAAGGATATCATCATTCACCATCACATACAATCTTCCCTCTACCTTTATATTAATTCTCTTACAAAAATCACAAAATAAGAAGAATTTATGGGAAACTACTTGGAGGCTCTGACACCAGTTCAGGCAATACATGTTAGTGTTTTTCTTTTCTAATTATCTTGGTCTGTACAATAATTAGAGAGTAGTGGGGAAGAATGTATTTTAAAATAGGAAACTGTAGTTACACAATTGTCAAAGAACTGGTTGATTCCCAAAAGTTGTTTGAGTTTTCAGACTGGTGTCCACTTGGTCTTTGTTGTGAAAATAAGGGCATAGAATTATATGGGTATGGGGGGACAATTAAAAATCATCTCGTTCCAGCCCCACTGCCATAGGCAGGGACACATTCCACTAGACCAGATTGCTCAGAGCCCCATCCAACCTAGCCTTGAAGACTTCAGGGCTGGAGAGTCCACAGTCTCTATGGACAACCTGTTTCCATGCCTCACCATCCACATTGTAAAGAAATGCTTCCTTTATATCTAGTTTAAATCTACCTTCTTTTAGTTTGAAACTGCTGCCACTTTTCCTGTGATTACAGACCTTGGTAAAATATCTGTACCCATTTTTCTTTCAAACCTCCTTTAGGTGTTGAGGCTGCAATATCATCTTTTATTATAAGAGCCTTTTCTTCACTTGTATGAAGTGCTATGTCAGCAAATAAGTGAGCTTCCACTTCTTGCAGGAAAAATAATTTCTTCAGCTGAAACAGCTGAAATTTTATTCTTAATGAAATTTAATATGTTTGGAAGAGCTCTCTTGGCTAAAGGTGTGTGCTTTTCTCCTGCCCTGACAAACCTTGGTAGCTCATCTGTGCATCTTGGTAGAACTTCTGAGGCTTTGTCTGCACTACAGAAATCTTTTTCTAGGGCTTAGTCTGCTGGTATTTTGCTGGGATGGTTTGGAATATAAAAATTTGGATGTTCCACTTGATGCCCCCATGCTGCAGAAAGCTCAGAAGGAGAGAATGGTGCTTTGATGATAAAAAAAGCATACAAAGCCAAAATAATAATAAAAAAACTTCTTATGTTGTTTAAGATGTAGCTTAACTGTGTTGATAGAACTACTTCAGGAAGGATTCAGGGATCCTGCCAACATTGGCATTGCTGTCGTAGAAATGATTGTCTAGGGAAGTCAAGATGACTTGTTAAGGGAGGAGTCTGTAGTAATCTTTAAGAGCCTTGTGAAGGTAACAAAACTGAGATTTGTGTCTTGAAAAATGAAGCTGGAAAAGAAACTGAAAGACCTTTCCAGGTTTCATTTTACCATATTGCTTTGTTTCCTTCTATGAGAATCAATGAAAACCAGTGAAAAAAGGATTTGTGAGCTCCTCATGCCACTGTTTTTACCTTATTGAACAAGAAACAAATTTCATCCTGATGTTTTATGTCGGACTGAAGCAAAACCTAACAGCTAAAATGAGCCAGAGTCGAAGCAGGAGGCAAGGTGAAGGGCTGTGTGGGCTGATGGAGCATGCTAGCTGTAGAGATTCTGCATGAGTTTTGAGTTTCAGCTACTTGTCATTGATCTTGATTAGCCCTGTAGAAGATAGTCAGCTGAGCCTAAGGGCATTGGGAAGTGCTGCAACAAACAGGGCAGTTAGAGGAATACACTGCCCAAAAGCAAAAAAAAAATTGCCCACAAACTGGGTTGAAGCATGACCACACAATACAGTTACTCTCACATAAAGAGGGAGAGGTGTATTTATTGTGTTAAAATACTCAAGAACGTTTTGGGAATAGCGAGCAGTGTTCTGTGTCTGGAAAGCTGAGGTCTTCCTGTTATTCTTGCAAGACTGTTTAACTTGTGAAGAGAAGAAAATCCAGACACCTTCCAATTTATTTAGGTGATAGAAGAGAGAGAAAAACTGAAGACGGATCGAGAAGCACGGCAGAAGAAGCTTTACTATCTCAAGACTGAATTGGACAGGCTTCGTAAACAGCAAGGTAAAGTGCATTACCACCCTCCCTGCCCCTGCTTTTTCCTTCCCCCTTGGGATGTGTCACAAGTCCTGGTATCTAACAGGAGGAGGAGAACCAAAATAAGAATAGTCCATAATGTATTTTCATACTCCTGGCAATGCACAACTCTTGAAAAAAGCAGTGACCTAGTTACTATATTAAGATCAATTACATCAAAATCTGAGCAGACAGTTGCTCTTGCATCTTCTTGGCTTGATAAGCTAAAGGAATTGTACTTTATGCATTTTAGTGCTTCTTTAGAAGAAGTGAGAAATAGTGACTGGAGATGTTATTGTGCCTTTCAATTTTTCATGAATCTTATCTGGAGATGGAAAAGTCCTCTCTCAAGAGAGCTAATTTTTTGTGTCTTTAAAACTTGTTCGCTCCAAGTAAATACTTAATTCCCTCACCTTTGGAAAATGATACTTTCAGGTTAGAATAGGCAATTTAACTTTTGCTTGTTTTGTCATACAGGGAAATAGTGATTATAAATTGATGCTCTGGAGGATTGTGGTGCCTCTCTTAGGGTGTGTGTTATGGTAATCCTTATGGAGGCACATCATGCAGATTTAGTGATGCTGTACCTGGGAGTCAATTCCATCTTTACAGTGAAGATTTAGCCATAATATTTTGTATTAGTATTTTACTTGTTGCTGGAATTATTGTACAGATCTAAAGTCAGTTTTCCTGTTGCATTTCTGACTCTTCTGCTTCCTTGATTGGCTCAGGTGAGATGTTGAGGAAAAAACGTCGTGAGAAGGACGGACACAAAGACCCCTTGTTGGTTGAGGTGAACAGACTGCAAGAGAATATTATGAAGGAGATTGCGGAGCTGCATAAAGAATCTGATGCAGCTGACAAGAAGCAGTCTGAGCTTGACAAAGTAGCACAAATCCTGGGGATTAACATATTTGAAAAACCCCGGAAACCATCTGTGGAAACTAAAGATTCCTCGGAAAAGAACAGCAAGTCAGAAAATGCAAAAGGCGTAGAGAAAACATCTTCCTCCAACAAGGTAAAGTCTAAAAGTTTGTGTGCTAATAATTTTAATAAGAGAAGAGGGCACTGGGCAGACAGCTGGTCCCAGACATTTACTAAAGGATCATTTGATGTCATTTGTTACCACATGTCATACACTGACTTCGATGATGCATGCAGGTGATAGTCAATGCATCAGTGTATATATAATGTCCCTCAGGTTTTGTGCAGTTCAGCACCACTTACTGTTTTTATTTTGGTATTGCTGAGGTGTTGGTTGGATTGAACAGTATCATGAGTGTGTATAGCTGTTTGGTCTCAATACCATGCCAGGAGGACAGACTTTTTTTTTCTCCACAAAATTTCTGTCATGGCCTTTCAGACCATGTTTATAGGAGTGTTTATAGCAGCAAAGCTCTCTGAAAGTTGGGAGCATGTTGGTGTTCTCACTAGGTAATGATAGTAAATCACAAGACTTAAAGATGATGGTCACCATAAGATGTTTTTATGTACAGATATTCTCTCTTCAGAAATGTCACTATGCATCAGTATGGTCTCTCTGGTGTGGTCTGTACTGCTCTGGGCTGGATGTACCAGCACAGGCTTACTGCATTCCAGAAGATCATTTAACTTTGAAAGTAGGATGGATACTACCATCTGAAAGGTTATGCTTGTATTCAGGAAATCAATTATCCTGCTTTTCAGATGTTTATTCAAATATGTAACAGAAATAGCTAATGGGAAATTGTAGATTAATTTTGTGTCGATCTTAGCATATATATTTTTGCAGAGAGGAAAATATTAGTAGGGTAAGAGGTATAAGGAAAACTGAAATGGCACCTCATCAATTTATCTGAAGGGAGGATGTCAAGAGCATGGAGCCAGGTTCTTCTCAGTGGTGCTGAGCAATAGGACAAGAGACAATGGGCAGAAACTGATGCACAGGAAGTTCCAGCTGAATGTGAGGAACAACTTCTTCACTGTGTGGGTGACTGAGCACTGGAACAGATTGCCCAGAGAGGTTGTGAAGTCTTCCTCACTGGAGATATTCCAGTACCATCTGGACACAATCCTGTGCCATGTGCTCTGGGACAACCCTGCTTGAGCACGGAGGTTGGACCAGATGACCCACTGTGGTCCCTTCCAACCTTACACATTTTGTGATTCTGGATTTCCTCCAAAGCCACTCAAATCTGTTTATCCTGTAAAATTTTCCTTATGCTTTATTGTGGTCTGAGAACTCATTAGGTAACTTTAATTTATAGACTTGCTTTTGGTTTTTTTTGTTGTTTCTTGAAACATTTCTGAAGTTTACTGTTCACTTACTTTAACAAATCGTTTGCTTCAGTCACCACTTCATAAAACTGAAGTAGACAAAAATGTTTGTTAAGTCCTACATTGCATTAAGGTATATTGTTTTCTTTTCTTGAGATATGGCACATGTGAATATATTTCTCATTATTTTAATTTGCATTGTCTGTGTTGTCCAAACCTGTAATGACTTGATTTCCTTTTCATAGTTCCTTATTTTAACATGGAAAATTGTGAGTTCTGGACTGGAACATTTAATATTTTCATACATGTGTAGGCACATAGGACACAGCCTTCACATTGTAGTTCTGATTAACTTTTTCTCATGAAAAGAAAGATGGTGCTGGCCTTTCAACACTGACATTGGTTGACTCTGCCAACCTGAGGGCAAAAGCCTTTGCCTTTCTGCTTATTTGCAAGGCACCTTGTAGTCCCTTGCTGCTAATCCTGTGTCTGTGTGTTGTAGTTACACAGTCAGTGCAGAGGTGAAGCCAGTGTTGCTGTGCTAAACAGGCAGATCACCCTGTCTGGGCTCTAAATAGTAGCAAATTATAAAGGCATCTTTGAGCTGGGGTAATGCACAAACTGGAGTTAAGAGTGGGCTGTCACCTGTCTATCTGAGAAGCATTGTCTTTTTAAAGTTTTGATTGAGATAGTATTTTTATAGATGTATGTCTATAAATAACATAAACATTGATGCTTGTGTGACATTGTGAACATCCTTCCATGCACCTCCTGCAGATCATAAGCTGATCTCATTGTTCAAGAGAATGTCTGCTATGTTCTTGCTGACAGAATACGTGCAAATATTCCTGGGGTCACTTCTTATTCTGCTACCAAGAACTAGATTATATTGGGATATGGATATCTGTGGGGTGCATAGTGGTCTGGCTGTCTCTTCATTCTTTGATTTACATGTGCATGTTGTGGGGGGTGGTGTTAAGGAATTTAATGTAAGGCAGATGTTATTTGACAATTTTGAATCTGCTTGAATAAATTTGTTCAGTGCTGGTAGTGAATAACTTGGAAATCATGCAACCAACTCGAGTCTGCTAAATTAACATGCTGTTCTTTCCAAAGTGCCGTGAAAAATGATAATATGATGGACTTTATGCCATTGAAAACATAACTCAGAACTCAAAATACATCTAGTACTATTGTAATCTAAATTACGAGGGCTCATTCATGGTATATTTCAGATAATATTTGTTTTGCTACAAGTTTAATTTAGTATTAATTTTGGATAGAGTCCTGAAATGTCTGTATATCAATATATGGCGTCTTTCTGTACAGATCAATGTAAGTGCAAATATCACACGTTTAAATCACAAGATCCTTCACCCTGTATACTTAGGTAATTAACAAAACACCATATTTCTTTTATTATTAAACAATAAGTTTTCTGGAGAATTTAGGAACACTCAAATAATCCGATAAAACTGATGGAGTTAAATACTTTTAGTCACCTGATTTTTCTTCCTTTTCCATTCTGCTTTCATCCAAACTACTTTTACAGTAATTTCTGAATGCCTCTAGGGGAACTATTTGAGGTCTTCTGGGCACTGTTTGGCTAGTATGGTAAATTTGAACTGTTATGTGAAACCAATAAAGTGGGAAAGGGTGCATGCCAAGGGAATTTGCTCATTTGGTTCCTTGATTACCTACAACCATCCAGCCATTACATCTGGGACCCTTATTGGAAACTCTTCACTGCAGCCACGCAGCATCTTAGTCGGCAATACCAGCTCTCTGAAACAGTGGAGTTAACCTGGGCGCTGAAAAGCAGGTGATATATTTTTTTTGTGTGTATGGCTTCTGCTGGAGGCAGGTTCTGAATTCTAGAGCATTTTGTCTGTCCTGCCTTGTCTTAGAGAAGTGTTTCCTTCTGTTCAATTTAGGAATCAAAAACTCCTAATGAAAAATCGAGAGGTAGAAGCCCGAAGCCAGCAGAATCCTCTTCACAGTCCTCCAAACATCCTTTCCAGTTGGCCAATATTTATGAATATTATGATGCAGGGAACCACTGGTGCAAAGACTGCAATACCATCTGCGGGACCATGTTTGACTTTTTCACACACATGCATAATAAGAAACACAGACAGGTATGTTGCAGGCTTCCTTCACTAAGTGCATTTCATATTGCTGTGAATATTAACACTAAAACATACATCACAGGACTACATTTTACAAGAGAACCTGAAGTAATAACGAACCCAAGAAGTAACTTAGCAAATTATTTTCCCCTAACGTTGGACTTGAGCAGTTGTACAGCTACTGGTGTATTCCAAATAGTGTAAATGGGGTCTGTGTTCAGTTTGCTCAGGTTTGTCACTTGTGTTTCACATGTTTACCTGTTCTTTGCGGTCATTTACATTTTACACTTTTCACAGGTTATTTTGTCATTGTAAATTGCAAAGTGGGAGGGAAAAGAGAGGAAAATAAGTTGTTGTAAATATTTGCACGTTGATTTTAATGTTCAGTGTTCTAAAAGGATATTAAAAAGGAAAAAGACAAGTGTACTTGCCTTGCTAGTGTAATATATGAGCCTATATACCTCTGTCACTGTGCAAATAGACCCTGGATCCTTACAACAGACCTTGGGCTTCGAAGACCCAGAGCGAGACCAAACAAGAGTCCATAAAACGCATTGATAAGATAACGGTTCCTGCCAAAGGTATGTTAATTTTTATTAACTCGGCTATCATCCCTCTTTGCCCTCCAGCACTTTGTCCCACTTGTTCAGAGAAAGGAATTTTTAAAACTTTGCCTTGGTATAGGAGCACATATAGATACTGTATTATTAGGAAAAAGGCAAATTATTTAGTTTCTTGACTGTTTTTGTATAAAAGGTCTTGAAGCAGGACTGTAGAAAAGTGTGGTTTCTTCTCTTTTTAGAGATTAGTTTTTTATTTTGATTACCAGTTGTCTTTCGGTGTAGTTCTGAAGTAATTTTTGCCAATATATTAGAATTCAGAGCATGACCACAATAGTTGGCAGTATTTGGGTAGATCTTGCACAGTATTCCACACAGTCTTGTAGTAGACTTTTCCATTCAGTACATTTTTAGCAGAGGTCTCCCTGAAAATTGACTGATGAGTACTTGTTATAGTGCAGATACAGAGAATCTGAGACAGACATATAGAAGGAACTGTAACTGAGCTGAAATTTAATATAGGATTTAAAATATAAATGTCTAAAAGGCCTGCCAGTGATCAACTCATTTTATTAATCTGTTACATATTTCTTGTAGTGCCCACTAAAGAAAAATCTGCAGCGTCTTAGATAACTGTTGCAGGTTCTGTGACACAAGGATGCAGTCTTGCTGAACTTCAACAAAAATAATTGTGTTCTGTTTAATAAGCTAGATATTTAGTATTTGAGCAGACTATACCAGAAAGATGGAAAATAGATCAAGGCTGTGGGAAATGTTGACCTACTTGAATACTCAATTACCTTAATACCATGAAGAGCACTTTAATCTTGAACCATAGTAATAAACTTCTTCACTTTGCATGTTTGTTCCTGGTAGTGGTGGTTCCTATGTAACTGCAAGGAGAGCAGCATTTACTGTTCCAAAAAGAACATTACTGGAAGTTTTGCTGTTGTTCTTTGACCAACTTTGTTAAGAGCTTGGCATTTATTAGGTTTTGTTTCTCTGATAATTTTCTTTGGCCTTTTCAGGCTCTGAGTTTCTGATTCCCATCACTGGATATTATTGCCAGCTCTGTCATGAATTTTTTGGAGATCAGATCTCAGCAGAGCAGCATGTGAAAAGTCATCCCCACAATGAGAAGTATAAGGTTGGTAACTGATGTACTAGGAAAGAGACATTCCCTACCTTAGCTTCTGCTTGTTCAGTCTTCCTTGCCTGAAGAATGACATTTAACTCCTTGGAATACATGTATTAAGTTATCTTCACTACATTCTACTGAACTAAATAAGTGTAACTTCCCACTACACCAGTACATAGAGATATTTTATCTGCATGAAGCTGAAATGTGTCTACTGTAAAGTGACAGCACTGCTGCTAGCAGTTTATAGTACCTCAGTTTCTTGGTAGGAAGAAGTTCCCTGTTCTCTTAGCATTGAGATGGCACTTACTGAGCAAGTCAAAACTGTCAGAGAGCTGCATTTATTTATTTATTTTTCATGGAAATTAAAAATGGTGGCTAAAATGTTGCTGATTATTTCCACAGAAACACATAGATGAAAACCCACTCTATGAAGAGAGGAGAAATCTGGACCGTCAGGCTGGATTGGCTGTAGTTCTGGAAACAGAGCGCCGGCGGCAAAATGAGCTGAAACGGAAACTGGTTGAGAAACAGAAGGAAGAGAAGGATGAGAAAACCCCAAAAATAATAAAGAAGGAGGAAGTAAAGAGCATCCCAGAGTCAGGAGAAGGGAATAATGAAACTCAAGGCAAAACGGATTCTTCTGGGCGAAAAATGGGTATCACAGTAAAGCTAAAGAAGGAAGAGAAGACAGAGGAGAAAAAAGAAGAAAAGAAAGAGGAATTGAAAAAGGAATCACCAAGCCAGACCTCCTTTGGGAAATTCAGCTGGAAAAAGACTGAGAGAGAGGATAAAACTCCAGGAGCTATTCCAAAGGAAGAGAATACAGAAGGAAACAAAGAGGAGAACAAATGTCAGCCCGTGAAATCCCATATCAAGCCCATTGAAATCAAGCTGTCTGGGAAAACTGTTATTCCACACACGAGCCCATGGACACCAGTTGTTTCCACTCCGACACCAACAAAAATTCTCCCCAATCTACCAGTCCCCACCATGATTTTCAGGAAGTCTACTACTGCAACAGTTAGTAAACCACCACCTCTGAACACCTTTTTATCAATAAAATCCTCTGGAACTACCACCAAACCACTGCCAGTGGTAAAAGAAACAAATGCAGATCTTCTACTGCCTCCGGATATCATATCAAAAGCTTTTGGAGGAGAAGAAGTAATTTTAAAAGGCTCAGAAGAGGATTTGAAAGCAGCAGAGAAAAATGAGTCTTCTCAGACTGCAGAGAAACCTCCTCCACCTCAACCTCCCCCAGCAGTCCAGCCAGCAGCTGTCATCCCTGCAGATGAAGTAGCTCCAGGTGTGTCTGAAAGTGAACAGACAATGTTGGCAACGCCTGTGAGACCACCACCACCTTCAACTACTTTCAGTGAACAAGCAAAAAAGATAGAGAAACGAAATTCTTGCTTGGCCACAGCCAATGCTAAAGATCTCTATGATATTTTCTACAGTAGTGGTGGAAAGGGTTCAGCTGACAGCAAGCTTGCAAGTTCTGCACTTCCAAATGGAGAAAACCCTAACTTGACAAAACCTGCAGATTTATCTGCAAATCACAGAACAAATAGTAGCTCATCCTCGTTGAAGGAGGATTCTGAGAATGTGGATTCCTCACAGTGTAATAATCAAGTGACAGGGAGTTTGGTTCCTGTTGAAAATCAGGCTAAAATGAACAAGAAATCACTTCAGTCTCCCCTGTCAGAAATTTCAGTCACAGAATTACCAGAAAAAAACCCTGTTTCTGGTATCCAGATGCCTGCAAAAATTGGGCGTGTTGATACAGGAGGTGGAGAGCAGGCAGGCAGTCTGGAATTCTGTGATCTACAGAAAACTGAGGTCCAAGAGAAGGTTGGACAGGAAGATGGAAATAAAACTCCAGTTAAAAACACAAATATTCCTGGTACCTTGGAGACAGAGACAAAAGACTGGGAAATAAAAGCAGTAAAGCCTAAGCATAGCCTACATGCAAAGACTTTGTTACCTGAGACACAGAACAAAATTAAAAGTTTGGGAAATTCCCATTTGGTCAAGTTAAATGATAACTGTAGAACTCACTCAGAAACTGATAGTCCAGACTTGCTCTGGGGCAATTCTAGAACTAGTAATGGAAAAGAACAGATAGTCACAACTCATTCTGGTTCTGATGAGGTTGATGCTTCAGAATTGATAGAGGGACAGACAGAAACTAAAAGTACTCTATTAGAAGCTCAAGAAAAAGTTCAGCCTAAACCTTCAGGCCATGTAGTGTTAGATAACCAAACCCAGAAGCAGGGAGTTGAACGGTTAGTCAGTACCTGCTCAAACATTGCTGAACTCAGATCCAATCTGGAATTAGCAGCTGAAAATGAAAAAAAGTCATTAGGACACACTGGATCTGATGCAAGATTAGATAATTTTCTTTTCAAGAGACCATCAGAGGATGTGAAACACATGAAGATTCCCTCCCAGAAAACAGAGCTTGACTTGAAAAGCACTGATTTCAATTTGGGAGAGAAGGTAAAACATGAATGTTTCAGCATCCTTTCAGAAGGACTTTTAAAGGAAAATACAGAAGAAGTCACAAAAGTAGAAACTATTGCGTCCATTAAGCTAGAGTCCAGTAAACTTAAAAAACTGGGCATTGAAAGAACAGTGAATGAAACAGAGATTAGTGATATTGTTACATTGACTTCTGGTAGTTGTGAAGATAAAATTTGCACACGGATTTCTCAGAAACCTATGCTGCAGCCTGGATCACAGACCTCAAATAGTGACACTACAGAAGTGGTCATGCCAGTTCTAGAAATGCAGGGCATTTCACCCACGTCTGAGGTACGTGTGCAAGTGAAGGACAGCAAAGATGGCACTGTTGAAATGCTGTCACTAAGTTGTGACAGAGGCAGCACAGAAAGTCAGGCTTCTGGGTGCGTGAAAACTTTAATGCCTGGGCTCAAAGAAACACATGGGAAGGTGGGTGGCTCAGGAGGCAAGGGAATGTGCACCATCCAGAGCAAGAAGACTGAGCAAACAGAAGCTCCTGACGGTAGTTTGGAAGCTACGGTGAATTCAGGAATTGCTGAAAACATAGCAGAAAGCCCAATGGGTTGAAGTAAACCCAGCCAGTCCCAATATTTGAGGAGCCAGAGCTGGGATTATGTATATGGTTTTTGTTTGTTTTTCTTTTTGTTTCAGCTGAGATTTTTGGGTGTATTTTGCATTCTGTGGTAGGACTTGACTAAAGTGAAACGTAAGTCATCAGAAGGCAGTCACATACTTTATTCTGTATATAATTAATTGTGTAAAATGTTTTTTCATGTGAATTTTGTTGCCAATTTCTTTTCTACACTCTGCTATTAAAATGGAATCTCGTTTATAATGCGTGCGTCTTCTTTATTTTGGGGGCTTTTATTTTTTGACCATTCCTGGGTGATTTCCAGCTCACCCAGTTTGTGTCAGTAGCACCGTGAGTAGCCCAGCTGCTGAGACAAGCTCAAGAACAGCAATTTAGAACTGAGGAAATGGAGACTTGCAGAAGACCTAAACTGAAAATTTCTTTGAACTGTAATGCATGGGTTTGTTTATTTGTTGTTTGAAATGCAAGAATGTGTTTAGAGTTGATTTTGTTTGTCTATCTGTCAATGCAAGAATGTGTTTAGAGTTGATTTTGTTTGTCTGTTTATCTGTTTCTGTGCTTTGTAATTACTGTTGTACTACATCTGTACTTAAGGTGTTTCACTGTATTGTATAAGCACATGTATGGATGCTACATCACTAAGCAAGGGGAGAAAATCTGTCCCGCCTGGCTTTTGGAGAAGAAAACTAATCGGTAAGGCTCTGTGGCCTGACACCTGGACCAGACATATTGAGGTCACTTACATGATTTGAAATGGGCTTTCTTTCATTTTATTGTGATCCAGTAACTATTTGTGTTAAATCATTTAGCAGCTGACCAGCTCTGAAGAAGTAGAAGATCAGAACCCTGGTGTCAGGAATTGGACTCGCTTCATGTGATACAGACACATGCATGCCTACCCTGAATGGTCCTTGAGCTATTGAGTGTGATGGTTCTCATTTGTATAGCTTGTTAAAGACTAAAGTATTAAATGTGTTTCCTTGGATAAATATAACATTTTTATTTGTAAATTGTTTAAAAAAATAAACATATGGAGGTGAACAAGGCTTTCTTCTTGGTTTTCTTTTTTTCCTTAACTCAGTAAAAGTGGTTTTCTTTCAATTAGTTTCTGACTCCTGTAGTAGTTGATGAAATTGAGAAACTGTAGGGGATGAAGATACTCAACAGTTAGCCTGCTCAATAAAAACCAGTTAATTCCCAGCTGAAGTCAATGGAAGAACTACTGTCAACATCATCAGTGGAAGTCTCTTTGAAGTCCTGAACTCTGTGCAAAACCAGAGGTGGGGCATCAGGGAGGGACCCCAGAAGAGCTTGAATTTCTGTAATCACTACATGCACATGGACCTCTGGAGAAGGCAAAATCACCATTTCTCTTTGTTTGCCGTGACTGTGTGTGAAGAAGGTATGAAATGTTTCTCAGAGTCTTACGGTGTTTTCATACCAGAAATGTAAGAACTGTCTAAGCTGAATTTGGAAATCTAGTATAAATTGTCAAGTCAACAGTAAAAAAGGTAATTAAGAAGGGAAGAGAGTTTTGAGAAAATCTCTTTGAGCTGGTTTTATGATGTTAAGCAGTTACTGCATTGAATATAGGAAGTCTTTGTTAGTATTGTTGCCCTACTTTTATCAGATAGCTGATTGACTGTCAAAACCAAAGCAAGCAAGGTTTGACATGCTTTGATAGTTTAAAATGCAGTTGGGCAATGAGTAGAGATTGCTTAAATCCTGATTTATAAAAAACTCCTTTGTAGTTTCTTCTTGGTTTTCTCCTGTATTTTTTATCATATACTTGAGTTTGTTTGCATGTGACAGATAAATTTTTCCCCATGTTTTCTTTTCAATTTTTTCAGTAAAATACTTGGTCTCTTATAAATCCACAGAGGAGGAGGGGAATTGATTTTCTTACCTGCCTTGTATTGAGAGATACAAGCGCAGGGAAGGGAAATACTAAAGGGAAGGCTGAATTTTTCTAGGGTTCTGCACTTTAGATAGTGCTGTTTTGAAGTACACACATGCTTTCTGGTTAGTTTCCTTCTGCAAATTGGTTTTCATGAAGGTTTCAGTGCATACAGTGGCAAAAAATAATCTGGACAGTCTTCTTCAGACAACCTTATTCAATGCTGTGTTATCTGTGTGGAACTTAATTTTAAAAGTAAACTTTATTTTTGGGGAAAGGACAGTATAATTCTGTTATCCTTGTTCTGTGCTCTGCAGTTGCTTCTACAAGTAATGGTAGTGGTCAGTGCTGAACATGAATGTTGAGGAGCTAGCCAAGGGCAAGCAAGAACTTTGCAAAGGAGAAACTGGAAGTTGTCACCCCATATATGTCTAAAGCTTTCCAGAATCTGAACTTTCCTGTGGTCTAAATTAAATGTTACTTCTCTTCATGCCCTTTAGTCTATCCGTGAGAGGAGGTAGGGCTCTTTACTCCCGGAAGGAAGATTAACTCGGTCTCTTTTGGGGAAGAAGTAATCCTTGAATGTCTGGAATGGACAAGAACGTAATGGGTGGTGTAGGTGATGACATCTAGGCAGATGGGCAGACAAGAGGCATTGAGAGTGTAATTTCATGAAATGGCATGTATTTTTATTTATGTATTTTTTTTCTTTTTTTTTTTTCCCGTTGTTTTTTTTTTTTTTCCCTGTGGTTTCCAGAGGCTTGCAGTAAATGATTTATCCACTGTACTCGTTCCCTGTGCTGGCAGAGCTGTAGCATAGTGCACTGACTGGGAAGCCTAATTTCTAGGCTGGCCTTCGACTCTTCCAGATCCTCAGGAGGAGAGGTGAGTTAATGGGGATTTACTTGTCTGTTTGAATGGTGCAATACATTACCTCTCCTTCCTGACATGCTTCTCCAAAAACTGCATAAAGCATAAGAAGTTACCTTTTTCCTGGTTTTCAGAAAGCTTCTGATACGAAGGAATCAAATATAGTTGGAATGTTTCTATCTTTACACTACTTCAAACCAGGCACAAATACCTCGTATATTTAAAGAACAGTGGACTAACTCTTAAATAATTTGATGCTGTAACCGTTAGTTTGACATGGTGAAGGCTGGTCCTTTCTCCTGGATTAAGTTTCTTGGAACACCAAGCTTGATTAAGAAGCAGTGGGAGAAGAGACATAGAAAAGCTGCAGTCATCCTATCAGTTTGTTTTAAGGCCAGGTGGATTTTTAATTCTTCTGCCAGTCTCTTTGAATGTACGTTTGGAAAGGAGAAGAAACCTTCAAATGTTTTAGGCAAAACACAGCAATTTTTCTTGGGGTCGTCTATTGGGTAGGTAAACCTTGCTTCTAGCTTGCTGGAATCTTGTCTTTGACTAAGTTTTAACTAAGCAGTAGATAGGCTTTTGGGGGGATTTTTTTTTGGTTTAGAATTTTAAATAGCATGTGAGCAAGGAAGAAATGTAGCAACCATAATTCTGTTAGTAAATTTTTTCCAAATGTATTTGTGTTCTAGTGGTAAAAAGTATAAGTAGTAGATTAAGATGTAAGGTCTCTGCTGTTCAGCAGTATCATCATGCTGTTTCTGGAATCATCATCCCTGGAATTGTTCAACAGACACGTGGATGTGACACTTGGGGACATGTGTCAGTGGTGAACTCAATGGTGCTGGGTTAATGGTTGGACTCAGTGATCTTAGAAGTCTTTTCCAATCTTTGTGGTTTCATGATTCCTTAATTTTTGCCAAGGGTGGAAATAAATGCCTAATTCTTACCTAAGAGAAGCTTCACAAAGAAATTAAATTTTGTCATGGAAACGTAGGAAATGTGGGCAAAGGTGAATTATTTTTTTATCCTGGTAAACTCCAAACAGTTTTTAGAAATACCTATAAAAGTAAGTGATGATAGCAGAAGATTTTTTAAAAAAAACCCACAACCATCCACCAAACCAGTGCATCCCAAAGCATGACAAAACTATATTTCTTTAGAACAGAGTGCAAGAGAAGTCACCTGAGACAGGTTTTGATGTGGCACCTGATGTAATACTGTGCTGGTTTATTATTCTCTCAGAGCATTACAAGAGGTTAAAGGGAGCAAAATCATTCTCTGAGGCAGACCTCAGTCCTTTTGTGCCTGATGAACAGTATGTGCAAACAGCCTACGTGCCAGTAGTGTGGGAGTACAAAGCAGCCATAAAATTTATTTGACTTGACTCCTCTGCTTGTGTCTGGCATGAAGAAGAAGAGGGAGAAGCAAGTTCTGGTTGCTAGACTATCCTTTCTGTCAGCTGTTTCCAGACAATATGGACGTATTCATGTTTGTAACCAACTTGAGCAGAATAACACATCTGCAGACTGTTACATTCTGCCTTAGAGCAGAAATCCAAGGCTCCACAGTTAGAATTAGTTTCTGGATTTTGTTTTCTCATCCCACCTCCACCTCTTCTTGGGCTGTCATCTTGCTTGATGAGAAGGCTGATGACCGTATGTTAGCAGTTCTAGGCTCTGGTAAAATGAGTCAAGCTGCTGCTACAATTCCCATGAAGCTGTCCATCAATGTGGATGCAGAGAGCAGAGCCATTAGAATTGGTTGGACAGGTGGTGGAGAATAGCTGAACACCTGTGGGAAATAAAACCTGAATCAGAGCTGCTTCAAGGCAAGCATTATTCCCTTTTCCAGCAGCCTGACTGAAGAATCTTCATTTTACAGACAGTAGAGTATACAAGGTAATGTTTTAAATTCTTAATCAAATACCATTTTTGTTCAAGAAGCTGCTTTTGTGGGGGAGTTTCAGCCAGCACCTAAGAAACACTGAAATATTATGAGCCATTTGTGTTACCACCCTGTTTAATTTGCTTACAAACTTTAGATGGATGTGGAAACAAAATAACGCTTTAGAAGCCATGGTAGCTGTGATGCATGAAAAGCCCTGTAATAGCTATCTGGTAAAGAAATTATAGGCATGGTCTTCATATCAGATCTCACATTAAGCTGTATTCATATCCTGTCAGAGATTAAAAAAACAACAGGAATTAAATGTAAGTACCAAAAATTAGATGAGAGGAGTCTTGTAGCTAGGCACCTGCAAGATGGGTATATCATGCTTGATTAGTGGGGGAAAAAAAAAGTCAATTAGCAAAGGAATATCTGTCAGTGCATTTTCTCTTAAGAACTGAAGGCTAAAATGCAATTAAACCCATTTAATATGTTGTTTTCCAGGTACTGTTTAAACTTCATGTCCTCTGCAAGTTAGTTTCACACGTTATATTGCTTTACCAAGGTGAGGGAATGGTTCAAAACC